GCGCACTGTGGGCCGGGGGACAAGTCGGCTGCTAAGCAGGACAGGCAGAAGCAGCAAAAACACCCGGCGGGCCGATAAATGTCCACGGTGGGCCGCATGTGGCCCTCGGGCCTAGTTTGAGGACGCCTGATCCAGGCTTTCTGACTCCTGTTCCAGTGGAACCTTCCATGTGATGCTGCCTTTGTGTGATTTTTGCTTAAATCATACTTCAGCCTTAGAAAGCCAAGATGGGCAGCAATGATATTCCTCTTTATTGAGCTGGAAAACTGAATAACACATTTATACAGAAAAATTGGCACTAGAAGATAGGTCTTCTCATCTGTTAGGATCTGCATTTTAGATTAAAACCAAAGCAGAGATGGGGTGCTCCAAGCTGCCTCAGCACACTGGGGAACTAACTGCCTCAGGGCACTTTCTAGGTTTTGAACATAAAAATATAACTTCCCGTGCCTCAGTTTCCCCTGTTAAAAGTGAAGAGGTTGGGGGGATGGAGCGGAAATACGGAGTTGCTGTTTAGTCGGCACACTAAAGAGTTTCTGTTTGGGATGATGAAAAATTTCTGGAAATGGATAGCGGTGATGGTTGCACAACACTGTGAAAGTACTTAACGCCACTGAATCACATACTTAAAAATGGTTAAAGTGGTAAATTTTATATTATGTATATTTTACTACAATAAAACAATAAATGAAAGGGATGAGGTTAACCAAAGCTTTCCAAGGTTCTGTTGACTCTGAAAGTCTGTAATTCTTACTCTAATTGGAAATTTCCTCCAAAATTAGCTTGACCTTTTCAAGTGCTTTCTCTCCGTCATCTTTCAGAGCTCTCTCCTGCGAGATCCCAACCCTGTTCCCAACTTCCTGAGCTAAGTATCTGGCAGCTGGTGCGTGACTGGGGGCAACATCTGCACTCAGTCTGTGTTGTGGATGAAGCGGGAGCATGCTGAATGGCTGGAGCAGAGATGGAGTCTTTTTGGAATTATGACAACTTCTCACTCTGATGGATTGATCTTCTCTGCCACAAGAGTATTGAGCTTTTTTTTTTTTTAGTTAACATGCACATAATTATCTACTTGGGCTTCATGAAAAGCTGGGCTGAGAATACTTTATCTTTGAAGACAAAGGCCCAAGTCTGAGAGGCTGGTTCAGGTCTTTGAATCCCATTGTGTGAAGTAGAGAGGTGGCAATGCTGGGGATGGGGGAGATGCAAAAATGCAAGCATTGATAGTCCTTAGACAACTTTTCAGAGGTGGGAGCCTGCCCAATCCGGGTCCTAAGGAAAATCCAGTACAGCCCAGAAAGGATCCAGACTTCTTAGGGGTGGGCACTGGCTAAAAGTGAGCAGATGCTGATGTTGGACACTCGAGCCCTGGCTCCAGCCTGGGATGTCGGTGCAGACACTGGGGTAGGGGCAGGACTGAGGAAGCTGGCTGCATGATTCTCAGCCCAGTAAAAGGCAATCAGCAGTCTCCGCTGTACTGAAAAATTGAATATTAACTTGTTCCCAAGGTACTCCAGTTGTTTGATTATCAGCTTGATTTGGCTCTTCCTCCATGTAGAAACATTTTTCTCATATATAATGGACCCACTCTTCACTCCCACCCCCAAAGTTAATCAGTACAAGGTAAAGTAAATAAGATGAACTATGGTCAGACACTTGGGCCTTTTAGAACAGTTCTCCAAGAGGTGTGGTCACAGATGGGCAGGAGGCTAAGCCACGAAGGGATCACATCGACCTAGAGCCAACCGTGCAGCGCCTGGTGGCATGGCTCATGCTGCTGGGAGTGGGCAGTGGGGCTTGTACTTGAGAATATTCACAAGCAGGGGAAGGAAAAGGATGTAAACATTAGAGCAAAACTGCCTCCCTTTATATAATTGGCTGTTCTTGGAAAACCTTGTAAATCAGATTCCTAAGATTCATGTTGCTTTGTTTTCCTCTTAATTAGCTTTCAAAGATGTGCCTGTGTATCTCCCAAAACACTGTGGTAGAACATGTGCCAGCTCTGAGCGAAGCAAGCGCAAGCAGCCAGTGTGTAAGTAAAGATCCCAGGAAACTGCCCCTGAAAGGAGACTTCCAGTCCAGCAACTGAGTAAAAGTAGTGTCATTTCTGTGGAGGCAGGAGGCAAGCACCTATGCCCAGCTAGCACCGGGATCAGCATGTTGGCATCGGGTCAAGGCAGTCAGTCAGCGGGGCAGGATTTAGCATGTGGAGACTGAGCACAGAGCAGACCCACAGGGCACATGGTGCCAGGATGTCAGCTGGTGACAGGAAGAGCGGGTGTCAGCACAGACTTCAGCTCATGAAGAGCACAGGACATGCTCTCAAAAGGACAACACCTATTGCAGCATCAAATCAGAAGACAAAGGGTGTGACTGGCGGCCAGGCTGCATCCAGGAATGATGCTCCAAATGATCAATTGCACAGCGGGAGGCCTTCAAGAGGTGGCTGCCCACCTGTATTTCAAGTTGAGTCTTTAAGGTTAGGTCTCTTTGGTACTCACTCCTGGCCATTTCTTCCTGCAATATACGTTGCAATAAGGTTCTACTTACATATCCCTTGAGGAAATTCTCAACTCATGTTGAACAGGTTGACTTTCTATATCTTATTTGTTATTTGTGTCTGAAAATACTAAGGGTGCCAAGATGCCTGCTTTCCCTCTGCACCTGCTCATACACTCACAATTAATTTCAAGCTGGCAAGGCAGCTTGTATGCAGCTTCAGAGTCACGGAAGCTTGGAAGGGTCCATATGGAATATACAATGGCTGCATGTGCACCTACTATGGAAACTTTGGATTAACCCGAATATTTGCAGCTTCCAGCCACATGCTCCCTTGAGGCTTCCAGTTAATTGAAATTCTACCTAAAGGAAACTTTGTGCCTCGACTACTGTATTTGAAAACTTTTTGGACATACATCAACACAATTTTTGGCTTTTCTGTGTTTAGCATGAACATCCTCATGCCTTGGCTTACGCACCCTTTAGCACCTCACAGACATCCATCTCATTCAGCCCACGCAAAGGACTAAAAGCCTTTGATAGATAAACATGTGTTCAATTCACAAAGCAGGGCTAAGAGATATGTGTTTGTGTGTGTGTGTATGTGTGTGTGCGTGTGCGTGCTTTTTCTTATATTAATGCAGAATGGCACATCTGATCACACCAGTTAACTTTCTCAGTGTGCAGTGCTGACCTGGTCCCACATACGTCTGTGCCTACTCCTTCCTTTCCAGAGTGGGAAAGTCACAGTTCTTCCGCAGTCCATGAGAGCTGGACAAGGTCCCAAACCACTTTTTGGAACACAGATACCTAGTTTCCCCATCTCTGTCTGGCCTTCCTCTACTTGCAACTAATATTTATAATACATGCCAGCGACACTTCGGTCTGGAGATACTGGAGCCACCTGGCATCTACAAGCTGACAGGTGTGGCCTCTACGGGAGCAGGTGCCTATCCTGTGAAATACAAGGAAAGCAGAGCCCCAAATTTCCCCCAGTTTCCTTGTTCTCTAAGACATTCAGGCTACAAATGCCATATCCACTTCCTTCCTCAGTGGAGCACTGCATTGACCCACATCTGCAGACGTAGCTCTGTGGCGAGACCCACACCCACAGGGGACTGTTTCATCCTGGCAGAACGCCCATTTTCAACCACTTGCCTCCGCTCTGTGCAAGCCGGTTGGCTCCTCGCATAGCTGACTTACCCGTTCTCAGGCCTCATGGTCTCCTGTGGCTTTTGTGGTAGTTGTCCTAATATGGTGGTGGACTTCTTTGGGATTAGGTCAAATTAGAATAAAAGTCCATCTTAATTAAGTGAAAGGCTTAGGGCTATATAAAGAAAAAGATTTTTTAAAAAAATTCTCTATTTTGTTTTTAAAAGAAACCACTAAACTTTTATCTGAGGACAGAGGCATAGATTTGGAGAAAAACATTACAATTTGCTCTCAGGATAAAGTGGCCAGGAAAGCCAGTTCCATGTTTAATCTAATCGTCTTGGGTTTACAATTTTATGGTGGCTGTCAGAGTGGCAAACCACGTAAGAGCTGTGTTTCCGTAACCCAACAGACTAGGAGTTGGGAGTGGAATGTATGTTCCTGTCAGCAGAGGCGCTGGTTCCACCACCACATCCCCACAAACCTGGAGGATTAGGGTCCCCTGTGTGGTGTTTCAGCCTCACCGTCTCTAGAGAGGCCCCAGCTCCAGGAAGGAGGCTGTCCCAGGGCTTCTTGCCTTCCCAGAGCGGCCACGGCCACTGCCCAGTAGCCCAGGATTGGGCCACAGTGGGCTCTGGACTTGTTCCACTCGTGTCTCATTTGCTCTCAACCAGCTATGCAGTGACCAGGTAGCAGGTCACCCACAAAACCATACTTAACCCATTGTCTTGCTGGGGCATTGAGGGATGAATAGATCCCAGGCACAACATGAAGAGCAGAAAGGGGGAAAGAAAAAGAGGAAGCAGGGGAAAATGAAACAGGGAGAAACTAAACACCAAATGAATTCTTGTCACTTAGCTGGGATCCAACCACCATGCATAGTGCTGTTTTCCATGAAAAAGTGTGTTCTAAGTTTCAAATAATGAAATTGGATATTTTCTACATAAAGCCAAACCTGCCAAAGGAGAAAATATTAAGTAAACATGCAAGAGTGCTATAAGTTTTTGTTTTTAAAGAAGCTATCCAGGTAGAGTTTTCTACCAAAATCAAGCTGAATTAAGTTTTCTTTTTTTTTTTTTTAAATGTCAGATGGGTAACGTGCCAACATTGTAAGAAGATTTGAAGGAGGCCCATCTCACACATGCATGTGAAAACCCAATCATCATGCTTACGAACTACAAAAGGATGAATTTTTGTTTTGTCTCTTTTTTTAGTTGGGATAGGACACCCAGAGATGCCCCAACATCACTATTATTCCTTGAAGGGATGGTCACTTTAGCAAGGTCACTGTTACAGAAAACATGAAAAAAAGCAATCATTGTAGGAAATAGGACAATAGCTGCTTCTACCTCCATGCTAGTATTAGGGTCAAGATCATCACACTCTGACTCCTCGGAACTGTTCGTCTCCTTGATTGGCAGCATGAGGAAGGGGGAAGAAAGAGAACACAGTTAGAACACAAGTAGCTTTTGCTAGAGAGTGAGAGAGAGAGAACTTCAGAGCAGCATGGGTGATGGGAAATTGGGCAGAGAAAAAACCAGGTGCTTTTGAGGTCGGGGTGCGAATCACCAAGGGCAGCAGCATGCTCTTTTCGGGGAGAGGAGGCTGGGGTTATGTACGACTGCTTATCTCACAGGAAACAGCAATGGAAGCAACCAATGAAGCATGAGTGCTGTAGAATTTAAACTGTTGTCTTCTGTGAGGCTGGACTTCCTAGATGAGAGTGAAGGAGAGCATACACTTTCTTTTCCCCAAGAAGGACGTTAGAAAGGATTTTAATTGTTCTTACTTTGCTCAGGAAGGAAAACAAAGTGATAGGTAATCACATTAGAACACAATTAAATAATTTGTGTCTAATTTCCATTATCCAGAGGGCCCAATTTAAAGAAAGCAGATGATACTGATTCAAGATGGGGGAAAAGGGTCTGCCAAGCTTAGAACTAGTGAGTTCAACGCAGTAGACAGATTGTTACAAAGAAATAACACAGACTTCACCAATGTGCCTCCCGTGCCTGTGCGTAGGGGGAGGCCAATTAAATGGCCTAGAATTGATGTTGTCTGAACTCTGGGGAAAAGAAATGAAACTTTACTAAGGGCACAGTGGCCCTTAAATTCCAAACCTCAGCCTTCACAGCGTTGGGGGTTTGGAAGGTATCCCTAATCCCTTTAACCTGCATGTATTCTCAAACCTAGGATACTAAATGGGCAGCTTTGAGAAATTTAATATGAATCGAGCATCTTGCATTTCTAAGAGAATAATGCTGCAGATAATTTTGCTATAAAACATCTGCACAGTATAAAGAGAAAGGTATAAAAGAAAAAAAAAAAGAGGTACTTACTTGAATTGAAGTTGCCAGGAGAAATAAAAAATAAAAAATAAATTGATCTTGCATGCAAAATCCTGCTAAACTACTTCCCCTCTTGTTCCCATAATGGGGGAAAGTTTCCCCTTCCACCCAAATTGCCTTGTGAGAATGCTGCAGGGTGGGGGTGAATGAGAAGGGGGGACACAGCTCCAGAATACCTTACTCACTTTAACAGAGACTTTGTTGCCCAGAATATCCTTGGGTTTACGAGACCCTGTGGCTTCATTTTTACCCGTGCTCTCCACTTCCGCCCGCTTTCTCATGCGTAGAGTATGCCATGAACATGACTTCCTGTTGTACCAAAAAACGCACCAATCAAAATGGCAGGTCAGGGCAGAGTGAGGTGGTGCATGGGCTCACCACCCTTGGGCGAGCCAGCAGGTGAGGTGCTCCATCAAGCCCAGGCTTCAGAGGCCCCAAACCTGCATGCCAGCTCCTGGTGGACGGCAACTGACCACACCTCCAACTGGAAGTGAGCGAGGATGAACTCTGACCCCTCCTGGTACATGTGCAAAGTTGACTGCAGCATTTGAAGAAAGCAGGAGTGCTAGGTTACCAAACTCTGCCAAGGAAGGATTTATACCACATTGATGATGCCTTATAGGACTGAGGAATCACCCTTGTGAAGGGCATGGTAGGTGGGGTTGGCATGGGGGCTGGGAATAGGAAAGACAAGGGAAGTATATTTTATAGTGTATACACTGCTGGCACTTTCCCAGGAACAGACAGAAAGACCAAAAAGATGATTTTGAGGTTTCCATATCATTATTTGTTTTTGGGCACAGCCATTCCCAAATTCCATGGAAGAGACAGGATTTTCCAGGGCATTCAAGTTGATAAACAGTTGGGTACCACTCATTTATCTGTATATTTTAGGGCAAAGCGTTTCTCAGTCTATATTCTCCACATCACTGCTTGTGAACAGGGCTGTCAGTCACTAAGAGGTCCTAGAGTTTCCCTGTGTGTGCCTCCAGGGAGGGGAGAGTAGCAATGACCTTTCCTTTATCCTGACTTCTTTCTTGCCACAAGGGGTTTGGGAGCTAAGCTACTTCTTCACATGCCTGTAAAGAGAAGCCCAGAGCAGAGCTCTTAAGTTCTACAAATATCAGGACTCAAAGACAAAGACATCAAAAAGCCAAGTCAATAAATAGCATCAGTGACCCTGAGCAAGTGTCATCTATCTAAGGTGTGGTCACAGAACTTGGATGAAGTTCTGATCACTGTCTGGAATAAATAAGACTTAGCCTCCCTCAAGTGTCTCCTTGTCAAATATAGTCCTTTGCAGACAGGAATCCATGAAAAGAGCCTTCATTAAGGGAGAGAGGCAAAGGAGATCGAGGAGGAAGGAAGATACTCGAGATATATATTAATAGCATTTCCTCCACAATATCCAAGATATTAGGTCATTAAATATGAAATGTCCGATTCCGAATCAAAAGTTTATTATATCTCAAACAAGAAGCAGAACAATTACTCAAAGTATGTGCCTAAACTATCAACAAAGTTTTTCCATCTTAATGGTAGCTTGTTTATGCCAGCAGTGACGAAGCCTGGAGAGCGAGTGGCCATGAAATCATGAAAGGTGTTTTCCACAGCTTGTTGAGAATTGAATATATTTCCTTATAAGAAGTGGTTCAAAGCCTGGAGGAAGTGGCAGTCAGTTGGTGCAAGGTCTGGTGAATATGCTGGATGACAGAGAGTTTCCAAGTCCAGTTGCTGTAGCTAGAGCAGCATTGTTTGCGTGACATGTGGTCCAGCATTGTCTTGCAAGAAGATTGGCCTGTCTCTATTGACCAATCTCAGCTGCTTAATCACAAGCATCCAAATTTCATCCAATTGGTTGCAGAACACATCTGCTGTAATCTATTGATTAGGTTTCATGAAGTTATAGTGGATAATACCAGTGCTGCACCACCAAACAGACATCATTAGTTTTTTTTTTTTTTATGAATATTTGGTTTTGGACTGTATTTGGTTGGCACTTCGTCTTTATCAAACCATTATGCTGAATACTTGCTATTGTCAAAAATAATCCATTTTTCATCACATGTGCAATACGATGTAGAAATGGTTTGCCTTTATGTTATGACAACAAAGAAAGGTGAGCTTTGAGACAATTTCTCTTCTGATGCTCATTTAATCCATGTGGAACCCATCTATCCAGCTTCTTTACCTTGCCTATTTGTTTTAAATGGTCCAATATTGTTGGAATAGTAATGCCAAACTTTGCTGTTAATTCACGTGTAGGTTGGGATGGATTTGCTACAGCTTTCAGCTCATCATTGTCCACCTTGGTCTCAGGTCACCCACATGGCTCATTTTCAAGATTAAAATCACTAGAATGGGACTTCTCAAACCACTGACGTACTGTGCATTCATTAGCCACATACTTTCCAAACACTTCGTTGATATTTCAAGCTGTCTGCGTGGCATTGGTTCCATGATGGAACTCATATTTGAAAATACCATGAATTGTTGACTTCTAAATTGCTCTAAAATATTTGAAAGATAATCACAAGCCAAATGTGCATTTGAAATACTAATGATGTACCTTCACAATAAAAATAGAATAAGAAGTGTCAAAATGAAATGTCAGAGATGTCAACTGTCAAACTTATTACTTAAGGAAATCGGACATTTCATACTATACTAATAACCTTAATGCATCAGGCCTTTAAGGACATACTGAGGAAGGTGTTCCAAAAAGTACTTATCACTTAACACACAGGCTCAGCAATTAACCTTCTGAGAAGGAAAAAGCAATCACAGTTATGTTCTTGAACCTTTTCAGAAAATGGACTATTTCAGAAAACCAGACCTCCTCTAGAACGTCCCAACTAGGCAGGCTCTCTATGATCTCCCGTGCACCAGCACCTTGCTCCAGTCGTCGTATCTAAGTGAGAACCAGCCCTGGAGGCTAACCTTAGATGATAGTACCCTGTTTACTTCAGACTTTCATATCTTTACCCCCAATTCCATGATTCTGGATCCTTGTGAGAACATCTCGAATCAGGGAGGTTCCTGCTGGAAAGATACCAGGGCCGGCAGCAGTGTGTGTGTGTGTGTGTCCGCGTGGGGGTATGTTCCTGTGTTTGTTACAACTCTCTGGGTTACTCAGTATGCTTGGTGAGAAACTAGAAATGTTAAAAACAACATTCGGAAGGAAGACTGAGAGCAGTAAAAGTGGCAGGACAGGCTCAGTTTCATATTCTTCTTCCCAGAACTTGTCATCATGGTTTGGGGAGCTTCCATCTCTGGTTGCAAGCCCAGGGACTGATGTGGACAGAGGGTTTCAGTGACGCTTATCCTGTAGGCATCATAAGGAACTCTGACCCCTGTGGTCAGAGCAGGCCCTGGGGAGGGTGCAGTGAGTGTCCTTCACTGATAAATACTGACATCCACTTTCAGTCAATTGTTCCCCTCCACCCTCCAACCCTTGGGCAAGAGCAGCTGACAAGGAACCAGAATGACCAATTTGTATTTCAATCTGTTCTCTTTTGCCCAGCCTGACACCCTTCCTACCTTCCCTCTCGTGGAAGATAGGAATAAGTGATCAACAGAACCAAAGGAGAGGAGGAAGAAGTACTTAACACCTGGATATTTAGAGCATAGATCATTCGCAGCCAGCTCTGCAAGGCCCTTGATTAATAAGAACCCTAGTGCTCTGAGGGCCTTTATTCCCAAGGCGTCCTAAAAGGCACCCAAAATAAGTGTCCTTAGAATAAAATGAATTGGCCCTATTGCGCCTTACGGCCTCTACTGATTTCCGGCTGAGCGGTCATCCAGCAAGGCCAGGGAGGTGCCAGTAGCTGCTACCCCCAAAGTAGAGAGAGGGCCACGGCAGTGTAGTTCTGCCAGTGCAGCTGCTCAGACAGCTCCTGGGACACCCCTGGATGACCGAATGGCCCTGGAAAGCCGTGGGACATGCCAGCCAAACACTGCCATCTGCTCTAAGTAGTTCACTGATGTCAGCTCCTCAAGGTTGCCCAGCTGCTGAGAACCTGCTAGACGGCACCTAATCTGCACCACTGCTCATCTCAGAGGTTGGGGGAGACCAACAGGGGCCGGTTAGAAAGGAAGGCTGGGGTGGAGCTTTAGCGACAAAGGCATTTTTTGTGTAGGAAAAAACGGCCAACACATTCAACCAACTCCTAAAATACATAAAAGAAAAAAAAAAAAGAAGAATCGTTTGTACATTTGAAAGTCCAAGAATAGTGAAATGGAGGAAAAAGGGTCAACTAGTTTTTAACCTCATTAAAACATGCTCATGGTGAAAATTTATTTTACATATTTAAAATAGTACATGTAAAATTATTAGTTACATTACAGGTACAATGATGAGCACGGTGACTCTCCATGATATTGCACAACCTGACTTCATCCATACGGGTTTCTTTAAATAGTGCAAAATACTTTGTACAGGAATGTGTTCGGAAGGGTCTTCACAACCAAAATAAGGAAAAGAAATATCTTACAAATTACCATGAACATATATTAAAATGACAAGGGGGGGAGGGCAAATAAAAAAAAGTTACAATCTGTACAGAGGAATTGCCACAGACAACCAAAAAGTTCCCTCTCTCCTGGGAGAAGCAGCAGGCCTCCGACCTTTCCAGGTCTGGCATTTGTGCTAAGGTAATTTTTTGGTGTCAATCGAAAAATATATATATATATCTATATCAGTAACTCAATACAATATAAATAGAAGTCCAGTCCAGTGAGTCCTGTGGTGGGTCAAATGTAGCAACAGAAGTCATGCTTTTTGTCACCTAGGGTTTCAGTAGGGTTCTTTTCTTAACGAGTGGGGGGAAAAAAAGAGAAAAAAAATGAGCAGAAAATTATAAACGAAAAGGAACGAAAAACCACTGCCATCACCACCACCAAAAAACCCGGAACAATCCAGCCTGGATGCCCCTTGCTGCGTGTGGCTCCAGCACTCAGACATTGGTTCCAGTGGCACTGTTGAGAATAAGCAGCAGGAATTCCCTACTGGGTGTTTGCATTTTTTTGTTCTTTTGTTTTGAATTTTTTTAATCCACATACTCCTCTCCCAGGGAAGCCAACGAGGCACTTACTTGATGCTCCCGTCAATATTTTCTGCTGCTGCCGAGGCTTTGGTGAGGGGCGCCAGGATGCTGCCCGGGACCCAGCCCTCGGCTGCGGGGGAGTGGTCGCTGGCGGGCTGGTACACCAGGCACATGTTCTGCTGGTTGACGGCGAGCACCTGGACCACCTCACCTTGGCTCACACAGATTTCATTTTCCTTCAGTGCATAGTAATCTTTGATCACAGCCATGGAAGAGGTCCCATTGCAGCCTCCCAGGTCGTTCTGCTGGGAAACAAGGGTGCGAGGGACACAAACGCAAGGAGACTGGTTCACAAGGGTTTGCTCTGCAGCCCACTGCATGGTTAACACATTAACTGCCATGTGAGTTGTATTTAACTCATACTAGTTTTGAACCGGGGGCCTGCAGTTGGTTTGTGAAAATCTTACTTGTTGATGTTTTCAGTGTTACAGTTAATATTGACAATTGCATTGCATATAGCTCATGCACAGAAAATAAATTTTTCATTAAATTAAAAAAGATAGTTTTGTTTTCAAAGTTTTTATTCTATTTTCACAATAAAACACTGTGGCCCCGAGGAAAAAAAATATTTTCTAGTATGGCAGTCAATGTCTTTAAGGCCAAATCTCCCCTAGCAGGCAGAATACTATCTTGACTAATGACATTATATTCATAAATGTGCTCTGAGAGTGTTTCATACCATATTTTAATTAAGGGGGAATAGGTAGAAATAGTGCCCAGCCCCAGCCCAGGTAAAGGTGTTACATAAACACACCTCTACCTGGAAGCCCCTTCCTAGCATGCAGTCTTCTTGCCAGCAGCATCCTCTTATAAAGGGAAAGAAGAACCTGGCACTGGCACAGGGATACGTAGCACCTGGGGAGAGTAAGGTTAGGGCAAGGGTCCCAATCCTTCAATAGGAAGAACATACACCCTTTGATATTAATTTTCTTTTCTTTTTGGTCTTACTCTATATTCTGACCCTCCTTGAAACAGGAGTAAGAATGACACTCCTGTTCAAAGACAAGGCCATGATCTACATGTACCCAACTCCCTGCAGGAACAGAACTCCTATAGTTCCCTCCCCTGCTCATTAATACAAGAGGTGCTGCCTACATGACCTTTTCATGGGAGTCTACAGCAGTGCAGCTGCTTTGAGACAGACCTGTAATTCCCGAGGAGGCCTGGCTGCCTCATTGAATATGGGAGAGCCAGAAATTCAGTGTGCTGGACATAATGCCACAGCGACTGCAACTTGCTCACAAGGGCAGAGTTTTTTGGTTTTTGTTTTTAATTATTATGGGTACATAATAGTTGTATATATTTATAGAGCACATGTGATATTTTGATACAGGCATAATTGGATTATTTGATTTTTTCTATTAAGTTGTCAGGTCTCCTCATATATTCTTGTTATTAATCCCTTGTCAGATGCATAGTTTACAAATATTTTCTCCCATTCTGTGGGTTGTCTCTTCCCTTTGTTGATTGTTTCCTTTGCTGTGTGGAAGGTTTTTAGCTTGATTTGATACCATTTGTCCAATTTTGCTTTGGTTGTCTACACTTTTGGGGTATTACTCAAGAAGTAGACAGGAGGTTTTTAAGATGGAAAATCATTTCCAGGTGAAGTGATGACATAGGTTGGTATAGTTACTCTAATATAGAATTATTACTGGTTAATAATTATTAACATTAATAGTTATCTTTTAACAAAATCAATATCAACTACTAATTTGGGAAAAAAAGAATAAAACTATAAAATTAGAACATGTAGTTAAAAAATGTAGGTGTTCTTATTTATAGACCCATTGAGTTCTAGAGGAAACTGAGGCCTAATAAGATTAATTAACTTGCTAGGGTTCTAGAGTAAGTGAGTTGCAGAATTTGGAATAGAAACTAGATTGCCTGGTTCCTAATCTAGTACTTTTCCCATTTCTCTCTTGTTCTTGCTACCCTGTAGGGTCAAAATAGCTGTGTAGACTAGGCCTATGGTTAACTCTACAACTCTCCTCATAGTGATATTTGGAGTGTGTGTGTATTTATTTTTGGAGACAGAATCTTGCTCTGTCACCTGAGTTAGAGTGCCGAGGCATTAGCCTAGTTCACAGCAACCTCAAACTCCTAAGCTCAAGCGATCCTCCCACTTCGGCCTCCTGGAGTGCTAGGATTACAGGGATGATCCACTAGGCCCAGCCAGGTGATGTTTGAATTGTAGATTATTTATGATAAACATTTAATCTAAGCCTGGCTTCCCTCACTCACATACTGATGATCAATTTTGCCTTGCCATATCAGCACAAGGATAGTGACAAACTGCAAACTCACTTAGTAGGTGTTCAAGGCAGATCATTAGAAAGGGCTATCTCTTTATAAGATGTCATACACTAGAGTTGTGACTTTTAGATGATCAGTACCACAACTACTCTATTTGGTATAAATCATCTGTTTTCATGATTGTCATCACAGCAATACCTTATATTTGTATAGAGTTTCTGTAGATAATAGCTTCTTAACACAGAATTTCTGACTGGTCTAACTCAATTTATAGGGAAAAAGAGAAACAACTGAGACTAGACTGTATTTTGTGGGCTGTTCCTGATAAATACAATAACCAGCATAAAAAGATGGTACTTCCTAAAGTAACCTCTGAGGCTGTGGCCCCGTAGCGACAAGGAGCAATGAGTCGTCACTTACCTTGCTGGTTTCAAACTTGTCCCCAGGCTGGTGGTAGTCAAACCCCGGACTGCCATTGGAGGTAGATATCTTCAGAGGTGGCAGAGGCGGGTTATAGGTGGAGCCCTTTGGGGGCTTCTCAGAGCCCACGGGGACAGAGGAGTAGGGCCTGGGGCTGGCTTGGGGAACCCTTGCAGGTTGAGACCTCATCACGCCTGTGCTTCTTTCTTTACGCTGATACTCAATGGGCGACTGCAGTGCTGCAGGGCAAGAGCAGGTGGTCACTCTGAGTTTTGTGAATTTGGGAATCCCACAAGGATCTGGAGGCCAGTTAGGTGCAAGGCTTTGTGCTAGGCATCATGTGGATACAGGAAGAAAACACGACCCTTGTTTTTAAGGAAATGTGAGAACTAAGACAGCTACCTAAATAATGAAAATACAAAACCAAAATGGTGCCATCTGTGAGGTGCAAAGTATCATGCAAAAGGAGGAAAGAAGGCTCTGTAGTATGTGTGCACGTCTATGTGCATGTGTGTATGCATGCGTGTGCGTGGTGGTAATAAAGAGCTTCCAAAGAGAGCTGGCTGTCAGACTCTGACGTTCAGACTCTGCAGGTAGGAGGCAAGCATGTGAAGTGTGTTTGGGAAACAGGATGTAGTCAGATCACCCTGAGCCAAGAGCCATGGGTCTCCCCAGAGGAAAAGGAAATGCCTGATAGGTAAGGGAGGTTGGAGACGCCACGGCAGGAAAGATCTCAAAAGCCAGGCCAACGAGTATGGACTTAATTTTGAAGGTCATGAAAAGTAACTGGATTAAATGAACTTCAAAGTTTTAAATTCAGATTCTATCATCACAGCCACACTTGGGAAACATTAACCTTGTATTTAGGAGGAGGGACTAGAGAGGAAAAGACAAAAGGCTTATCTAATTCAGAAGCCATGAGACAGTAACGAGAGGGGAAGGCTCTAAGGAGGGCAGGGCTGGGGGATGTGGAATGTGCACAGGGGGGATGAGGTGACAGCCTGGACGGGAAGAGCAGCGTTGGAGACGGGAGGATGGTAGTCAGTGGAACTCAGAAGATGGGAGAACAAGCTTATTTGAAGGGAAAGACATGAGCTTTGTTTCACAGAGTTTAAGGTAACAAAGTTCCAAGGTTGGAATGCTAAAGAGGTACAGTCAGGCAAACGTCATCCAGGTCAAATTCTTTAGGGTTGGCCTGATTGTGTCATTTTTAACAGTATTCACTGTAACAACTATTAATACTTAAGTGGGTTAACAGCTGGGGCCCAATTGTAAGGATATTTCTACAGCGATAGGTAGGTACTTCAATAGGACTCAACACAGGGTCATACTTCCTTTCTATTTGAGGTCTCAGGAGGGAAAGATTGGCTCTGAGATGCCTGCACACGTCTCTGTAAGTAAAAGCCTGGCCTTGGTCCATCATCACGTCCTCGTCTCTTGAGCGTGTCAAAGTATATAATGGGCCTGCCAGAGCTCAGTCCCTCTCCCTGGGGAGCATTCTGCAGGCATTAAATATTTAGATAATGATAACCTAGTTCAGCAATACAATTGGCCCTCTGTATCCATGGGCTCTGCATCATTGAATTCAACCAACTGCAGGTCTAAAATATTTGGGAAAAAACAAACAAGGATGGCTGTGTCTGTAATATATACAGATTTTTTTCTTCTCATTATACCCTAAACAATACAGTATAACAACTATTTATATGACATTTACATTGTATTAAGTATTACAAATAATCTAGAGATGATTTTAAGTATACGGGAGGATGTACATAGGTTATATATAAATACTATGCGGTTTCTCATCAGGGACTTGTGCATCTGCGGATTTGGTGTTCATGGGGGGTCCTGGAACCAATCCCTGTGGATACCAAGGGATGACTGTATCTCCATAATTTCACTATAATTAGGAGGAGGGTCTCTTGGAACCATGTAAAGGTCTAAATCATTGACTATGTTCCAAGTTTTAAGTACATAACAGACTTGTGAAGAAGGCCTTATCAAACTGACTTCATGGATTAATACCCATCATATGAAACTTGGGATATTACCTGATTATATACAATAACTATACTAAAGCATTTGAAAAAATATGGCTTTCAAAATATTTAAAAAAATTTTTTTTAAAAACATTTTTTGTAGAGATGGGGTCTTGCTAGTCTCGAACTCCTGGGCTCCAGTGATCCTCTCACCTCAGCCTCAGCCTCCCAAAGTGCTAGGATTATAGGCATGAGCCACCATGACTGGCCGTACCTTCTTAAACAAGCCACATGGAGGCTGGGCGCAGATCTCAGCACGGGATGAAGAGGTGGCACACCCATGGCAGTACGCTGTGCGCACGTGTGTGGGTGTGTATGCACGTACAGGCACATGTGCATGCTAAGTCTCCAGGTTTACTTTGTTGCTGGTTACATTATACCTTCAACTTCAAGCTCCATTTCTGCTCGTGAGACTTCTGAACTCACCAACTCTGCACTAGTTTAAAACCATACCCTCCTTTCATGTGCCAAGCTCAGTGTGTAGAAAATCCCAGCAGAGGAAACAATAAAGAAATGCAAAGTAGCAACTCCACTTCACTCTAGTCCACTTCACCCCTTAGGGGACTCCTGCAGGAACCATAGAGAGCTATATTCTCTTTGTAATCACCAATTTGTTCTGGGAAGTTGGGAGGTATTACTGCAAATTAGAGTTAGTAAAAAGGGTAAAGTTTGCTAGCAAAGTGGCTTATCCAGGCTCCCACACTGTTGGGAACAGAGTTATCTAGAGGTAACTGCCAAGCTCCTAGTTATCTGCAGATAACAGTAGAACCTGTGAGAATACCAGCCATAGCAGCCACTAAGTGGGAAAACATGTGTCTTTGATAGCTCACCCCTAAGACACAGAGGATGTGCCCATCTCAGACTTTTGCCCTAGTTAGTACCAGCTGGTAGTGGTGGCCACAAAGCATACACCCTATGCCCTGTAAGAGAAATCCCTTCTATTGGAAAGATGGGGCTGCTTTCTTATACCCCATCTGTTCCACCTGTGTGTTCAGATTCAGAAAAATTTGAAAGTGTTTCTGAAAACTACAAAGTTGGAGTTTACATAAAACGTGACCTGGGCTCGTAACTCACTGTGAGCCCAGACCCAAGGAAACTCAGAGGTGAGGGGTCCTCTGAGATGGCCCCACTAGAAACCTAGCCCGGCACCCACCGTTTAAGAAGTCTCGCTGCGTTTCTAAGACTTGATTGATGTCCTGCACCCAGGCCTGCTGGATGTCGGCGTTGGCGGCTTGCAGAATGACCCTCTCGGAAGTCTCTCTGTTCATGAGCGCAAACTTGCAGGGGTCGTTGTCCACATTCTCCTCCAGGACCAAGTAATTCATCTGGAAGAAAGCAAGTTGATCCTTTTTATGTTTAAAAGGTTATTTGTGGGTTGTTTTTTTTTTTTTTAAAAGCAGCAACATATTACTATTCTTTAACGTTTTTATTTCAGGAGAAACTTCCAAATTTTCCCCTGGATCTAGCAGGTCAATATTTTGGTTTCTGTCTCTGGGTGAGTGATGTGATCCCAGGGACCGTGCAGGACCATGCTGGAGGCTGGTCCTCAGCCTGCCACTTTTTCTCACAGATAATCACTGCTTTTCACTCAACCTCCACAACTGCAGGTTATTAGGTTGACAGCCCTTCAGGATGCTGGATGCTCACTGCCCCAGGCCTCGTCTTAGGGAAGCAGATCCCGAGTGCATGGCTCTTCCTGCCCCTTCTGGTCCCCACTGGGGCCTCACCTTGATGCTTCTTTTGAACATGTAGCCCGGGGTGAGGGAGCCCTTCCTGAGCAGCTCACTGAAGATGACGATCTGCTCGAAGAGGAACACGCGCCTCTCCTTGGTCCGGGACTGCATGCCTGCATCCAGCTCGATCACGTAGAACGTGTCCTGCTGCAGCAGTTTCCCCTGAGCAGTCAGGGTGCCCTGATGAATAGAGAGGCCAGGGTGAATAGAATGAAAACAGGGAGATGGCCATTGCCCTTAAAGTCCACAGCACCTCCCTCTTTGGGGACACAGACAACAGACCTGATATCAAAAGCCTCAGGGCTCTAGTAAGAGACTGAGTTAGGAACCACCCCCCTATCCAGGGACAGACGGTGGCCACTTTCCTGTTCACACAAGGGCCCTGGAGGGAAAGGGAAGAAAGCTATGGAACCACTAAGAGACAGCTCCAGGCAAATGCCAGAAGGAAGGAAGATGAAATGATTAGCTGAAAAGAGGTTCCAGAATTATCCTGGTCCTCTTGTTTTTTATTAAAAGGAAACTAGAAAGCAGGTGACACTAGAGCTAGAAATAGACTTTGTGTCCTGTGAGCTCTGAGAGCTGTGCCTGCCTGGCCACTTTGCAGCATAGGCCAGTGACCTGGGGCGCTCTCATGGCCACAAACCTAGAGCTCACCTGTGGCCAGGGAAGTGATGGGGGCAGGGCCACAGACACTCTGGTGAGTTGCACACCTCTCCCTTCACCTTGTATTATTTTAGGGTGGGGAATTCTGAAGTTTTAGCCTCCGGCTACAGGTCAACAGGTGATGTGTGGGTATCATACATACGTCCCCATAGTTTATAAGCTGGTAGATACTTTTATTGGGTCTTGTGACCCTTCTTAAAATGACTCTAGCTACCAGACCACCTGACACTTAGCTATAGAGGTAGAGCCTATTTGGTTTGCCAGTTTCTAATGAGATCTTCACATCTTCAAAGGGAGTGTGACCCAACCCAGCAAGTCTCCACAGAACCTGTCGGAGAGCCTTGCCTTTTCTACTGCTCTGCAACAAGAAGACCCTGACATCTGAGATAGCAGGCAGAGGGCCCCCTCTGACATGTAGGCATTCTTTCTCAGGGGATCACTGTTTGCCCTTTATTGCAAACATGGGCCCTTCCCTTCCCATGATGCCTTATTCCAAACATTACCCAGCACAGAGGTCATTTTTCTTTTGTGTTCCTAAGAAACGCCTGCCCTCTGCTTGGCTCCTGACTGCCAAGGTCAGTAGCAAAACAGGCTTATCTCTACCCTGGCCCAAAGTTAATATTAAGCCAGTGACCAGCTAGCCAGGAAAGCTCTAAAAGCTCTATTAATGTTACATAAGAACCTGATCATGGGGTATAGGCCAGCAACACTAAAAGGAACGCCAGAGGATTTTAAAGGGAGGAAAGTAAAATGAGGGGGCCCTAACTTCCCCCAGACCCAAAGCCATGGGCTTAGGGAATAGACAGACGTTCACTGTTCTTCCCAATCAGCTGAAGGAATGCAAGGCAGCTTCTCTGTGGCTTGATGAAAATGGGAGACAATGGTGCTTGATTTAAAAAAGAAGAGAATTCCATGCTTATATGTGGCCTTCTGTGGACACACACACGTGGACAACAAGGCTCCTGTGAAGTCTCACATGGGTCAGACAGCACAATCACATGCCACTCCTGTCAATGGCAGCTTCCTCCAGAGACCCCGAGGGAGCCTAGCCAGACTCCTGTTCAGAAAACGTGGGGCCTTTCAAGGTAGAAGAGCAAAAGGGATGACTGGGTTTGCTCAGAATAGCCTCAGACCTCGCCTAATGCCAGGGGAAAAGTGTAAGACTCCACCCAGTACGACTGAAAAAAAGGTATAAGAACTCAGAGTGTGTTTCTGCTGAGCAACACTGCTCATGCTAATGCCCCAGGTCTACCTTGGAGAACCAGGGACCTATGAAAACTGAACAGCAAAGAAGACCGTCCATGTAGTTTAGACAGGGACACACAGGATGGGCTGGAAGGGCAAGGTAGATAGGAGAATTTGGCTTAAAAACAACATGAATCCAACTCATTAACCCAAACCCGAATGCGTCATCTCCTAAACTTACACACTACCATCTGCCTTTTTCCTGGTTTAGCCAGTAAAAAAAAAAGCCATTTCTTTCTTATTTTATTTACTTACTTTTATTATTATTTTATTTTTTGTAGAGGCAAGGTGTCACTATGTTGCCCAGGCTGGTCTCAAACTCCTATCCTCTCAGGAGTAATACTCTCATCTCAGCCTCCCAAAGTGCTAGGATTACAGGCTTGAGCCATCCTGCCCCACCTCATTTCTGTCTTAATTGTCTGAGCTTCTAGGAATCCTTTTTCTCCAATAAGGAATAATGAAATTTTAGGTTGCAGATTACTGGAAAACAGGATAGAAGATCCACATCTTTCTGTAGGGGTATCAACAACTACTAGGTACTAGTCAATAATTGTGTTAGTTCCAATGTTATCGCATTAATATTCAAGACATATGTTTAGTTAGTTTATGAGGTTTGGCTATAAATTAATAACAGTCATTTATTAAGTTTAAATCAGGAAAGTCAATTTGTTCTTTAAAGGTGCACTCTTAGGGGTTGAACTGTGTTATCCCTCACCCCCTGCCACCCATCCTCCACCAAGTCCTATGTCAGAATGTGACCTTATTGGGAGGTAGGGTCTTTACAGAGGCAATCTAGTTAAAGTGAGGTCATTAGAGTGAGCCCTAATAGAATATAATTGATGTCCTTATAAAAAGGAGAAATTTGGACACAGAGATACAGAGGGAAGGCAATGTAAGATGCAGGGAGAATGCCACGTGGCCATGAAGACAGCCATCTACAAGCCAAGGAGAGAGGTCTGGAAGAGATCCCTCCTCACAGCCTTCAGAAGGAACAATCCTTACGATACCTTGATTTACACTTCTTTGCCTCCAGAAATGTGAGACAATAAATTTCTATTGGTTAAGCCACCCAATTTATGGTACTTTGTTATGGTAACCCTAGCAAACTAGTATATTCACTTAAACCAAAATCCTTGAGACATCTATTTCCCTTAAGACTTGATTCTCCTCTTCAAAGAACAGAGATATGACTGTCATGTTTTACAGCTTCAAACATTCATTTAACTAAAAAGCCAGTCACTACATAGACCTGTTTATTAGAACTACCTTCTCAGAAGTAAAAAAATAAATAAAAGGTGTTCTGTTCTCCTGCTTAGGTTCCACTTCTATCACACAGTCCTGCTGTCTCTCACATTCCCAGCATTTCTCAATCAAGCAAGAAAAGGGAAGAGTCAGCGCCAGGTCAAACAGTTGTAAAGAACGTTGGGTCTTTCCAGCCTCTGGGAATTCTGACTCTGGCTTGGCCGACTGCTCCGTCACTTCCTATGTCTGCCCAGGCGGTGGACTTGCTAAACAGATGCATCTTCCAGGCCTGTGGACCAGAGGGCCCAGGAGCAGAGGCATAGCGGCTGACAAAGGAGGCAGAGGAGGCAGGACACAGGGCTCCAAAGGGAACAGGCTTGGTGCCTGGACCCCGTGCCCAGGAGAGAGAGGGCTCACAAGCATTCTCAAGGACTTACCTCAAAGCCTTGCAGGCGTCCAAGATTCATCATGTCATTGCAGCGTTTGGGAACAAGGCACATTAACTCCACTGCTTTCTGTGGGAAAGAACGATTGCCACTCAGGAGGGCACAGCACTCAGGCAGGAAGCTCTCAGCAACTCAGTGCTGGGAGACAGGGACCTCGCCTCTGGCAGCTCCCTTATTCTAGGAAAGGACACTGGTCCCTGCTGTCCACTTTCAGGGAGTATGGGGCTTTCTGTGCTAGATGGGGATGTTGGTCATAAGTCAGTGACCACATGTGGGGGGAATGGTACTCAGCCCATCCTTTCCTACCTTCCCGCTTTTAACAATTCCCTTTCCTTCTCATATTTTCTTTCTTCTCTTTTTTGTTTCCTAGCTGTCCAAGCAACAGCATAGGCTGGCTTATGAAACACTAGAGGTTTTAACCTAAAATAACCTGCCAGAATGATCTGTAACCTCTCTGGCTTAAAATAATCCCCACGGTTGACACTGTCTCAAAGGACTTCACTTAGGGGGTAATCCTCAGGGTGCGGGTAGGGGATGAAAATGGAATACTTTGTTTATTCAAACAGTACTTGAATTCACAGATAAAGATGCATATTGAAGCTCTGTGCAATTTACACCCAATCTCGGAAGGATGTTAAAGGGGTAAGGGATCACCTTTTCCCCACTACATGTCACCAGGAGCCATAAGAACACCAGTAGGGCCCCACTTAGGTCTGGCCCAGGACAGAATTCTTGAGTTCTAGAAAACACTCTGTTCATTAACACTTGCCATTCCTCAACCCACTGAGTACCTGCTTACAAGGGCCTCTTATTGTTTAAGAGGAAGTCAGTCTGGATCCTCCCGGGACGGTCTTTTCCCCTTTAGAGACAGACACCCAACATGGTCCCTAAGAACAGCAAGTGTTACAAGCAGAATACTCACCTCGATATCTGAACACTCCAGCCCAGCCTTCTCACTGTATCTCAGGAAGTCCTAGCAAGTAGGGGAAGCAGGGAAGGGTGTGGGAAGGGGTGAAATTAGTTAGTAAAATAGGCAGAGAACTATAAAAAACTTATCATAAAAATGCAGTAACACCCTAAATACTTTTCAGCAGAAGTGGCCATGGTTTGTAGCAGCTGAGAAACAAAATTATGAGTCATGTTAGACATGGTAATGCAGAGAAAACTCCCAGAATGTTCAAAGTCTCTAAGCTATCAGGGAAGGAGGGGTGAAAAGGAGGGAGGGAAAGAGGAAGGAAAAGGGGATTATGATAAGAAAAGATGGGGGAAAGTAACATCTTTCTTTTCTGTTTAGCCTCACATATCATCTCCATGAGATGAATCAAGTTAAGGCATTATTTAAAATAAAATATAACCAATTTTAGGTATTACTCACCTAAGGCTTCAAGAGCCTTGCCTTTCCCTTTCTTTCTCCCTTGTATTCCACTCTAATTTCATGCTCTTATTACTTTTTAGTGTTTTTTTTTTTTACTATTTTCTAGTTTTATTTTCAATTAACACAAAGTCTAATGTGCAAATCTTATAATATAAACACCATGTTATGCATTTTCATATTTTTTGATTAGAACTATCTGATAATTTGATCAGACAGAATAACTAATACTTTCTATTATGAAATGAAGTTCAAAACTTCTCAGCAACAAGAAGTCAATGATTGTGACAAAGAAAGTGAATTGAAAAAAGAAAATCAAATAAAATCAATGTTAAGAGCAGGAAGATGGGCTGGGTGTGGCGGTTCACGCCTGTAATCCTAGCACTCTGGGAGGCCAAGGTGGGAGAATCGCTTGAGCTCAGGAGTTCCAGACTAGCCTCAGCAAGAGTAAGACCTGGGCTCTATTAAAAATAGAAAAAATTAGCTGGGAAACTAAAATTAGAAAAAATTAGTCAGGTGTGGTGGTGTGCGCCTGTAGTCCCAGCTACTTGGGAGGCTTGAGGCAGGAGGATCGCTTAAGCTCAGGAGTTTCACACTAGCCTCAGTAAGAGCAAGATCCCGTCTCTACTAAACATGGAAAAAAATTAGCCAGGCATGGTGGCACATGCCTGTAGTCCCAGCTACTCAGGAGGCTGAGGCAGGAGGATTGCTTGAGTCCAGGAGTTTGAGGTTGCTGTGAGCTAGGCCACAGCACTCTAGCCCGGGCAACAAAGAAAGCAGGAAGACTCTGTCTCAAAAGTGAGACTCTGTCTCAAAAAAAAGAAAGCAGGAAGAAAAGTGATGCAACTTAGGCCAAAGCTGAACAAGTAGCCAGCAGAGGAGATAAAATCCTGCAGGTATTACCCCACCTCCACACCCAGTTCACAGCCCTTGGGAACAGTATGGTGGAGAGAGACCCTGAGCCTCGCTGCTCTCCAGCTCCGAGCCTGGGGAGACCCTACTCCCACCCTGACCCAGGCTCCCAGCTTCTTACCTTGAGGAGCAATTGGTATTTTGTTATTCTCTGAATGGGCTTAATGAGGAAGTCGCTAAGTGTCAGCCTCTGATTTATCTCCTGCTTTACCTCCTGAAACACAAGGAAGTCATGTTAGGAATAATGAACCAAAGAATTGCGGTGCTCTGGGTCAGGGATCCAAGGCACAGCAGACAGGTCTTCACGTTTTCCAATAAAGTTTAAGAATCTTCAAGCCATGCAAGAGGTAAAATTGCCTACAGCATGGCCCGTTTGTCATGAACAACATATGAGACACTCCTCTGTGGCCTCTTGTGTCCCCACTGCACTTTCGCAGCAAGCACCTTCACACCTTGGTGCTCACCCAATCCTGGGAGACAATCTAGAAGGGGATTATGTTCCCTCTACCGCTCCAGGGCAAAGTTGGGAAAGAAGGGCTTTTCCTAGGACACGCCAAGCCTGCAGAGCTGCACCCTAACCTCAGATCTCTGAACACTCAGCTGAGGCCTCTTTCCGAGTGATGATGTTGCCTTTGCCTCAACAAAATAGAGCCTTCCAGGCTGGGGTAAGCAGAAACCGGGAAGTGGCCGCAAGCCCCTCAACCGAGAGAAGGCTTCTGAGCAAGTCCTTCCAAAGGGACTGGTGAGGAGGGCACAGTCTGCCCTGGGGTCACTTAAGAAGGAATAGAGCTTCTGAAACAGTCTCTTTGGTACAGGGTCATTCTACAAATGGAGCTGTCTCAAGTTGGAGCCCAGGCGGGGCTGCCTCAAGCAAAGCTGCTCAGGAGAATCTAGCTAAGAAGCCAGTGGCTCCGTTGAGGCAGCTGCTCCTGCTGAGAGGGAGTCACCTGCGGATGATGACAGCTGGTATTTCTGAGCATGGATGTCTTGCCCTGAGTTCCCCCCAGCCTGGGTCAGCCTGGCCGGAGCAGCTTACCTCGAAGTAGGCATCATACTCAGCAACAATGTACTCGGAGCGCGGCTTGTTCTGGCAGTACCACACGTAGATGTGCAGCTTCCGCTCCTGAAAGAGCAGAGGGAGAGACATGAGGACAGTCGGGCATCTTGTGCCTTTCGTTCAATGCCTGAGTGCTGTGCTGGCTGCACGTGGACAGAAGGACAAAGCCATGGCCCACACGTGGGGACGCGCCCAGGAAGCTAAAACACCAACGGTATAAAAGTAAATGTAGCAGGCAAGAGACACCTGCCAAACTGCCAAGAAGGTTAGAAAGAAAAACAAAAACAAACCTCAGAGAGGGGTGAGAAGGAAGGCCAGTCAAGGAAGAGCAGAAGAGAAGGAATTTTAGGGTGACCGTGAACGAGCCTGGTGAGGGACTGGGGACAGAAGTGACGGAAGACACTCACATGCTTAATAAAGAGCTGTGCCAATCTGTCTTGCTCCTGGATACATTTTTCCAGTTCAGCCAGGAAAAAACTACAAGGAGAAAGGGGAAAAAGAGAAGGAAGCCATGTTATTTAGAACTGTATTATTTCTCAGTGATGAGATAAATGACAAAAGACTCTTGCCCAGACCCTACCCCTTGGAGGTCAGATGCAGGAAGAGGACTGGAGGGTCCAGGTTCCCAGGACACCTGACCCTCAGGGCGGCGTTGACACTTACTCCTTATGCCAGTCATAGATCTGGTGAATGTTTCCAAACACGATTTTATCCTTTCCTCGCATATCCTCAGGGACGCCCTTTTCTTCTATCCTCTTCATGAAGCCCTGTAGCAGCAGAGGCAATGGTGAGTGGGTACGTCTACAAGAAAGTTTTCTGGGCCAAGCCCCACACCGCAGCACCCACGTGAGCCCACACTATCCACGCGAGTCTGAGGGCAAGTGCTTCTGTAGTTCCCCACTATTCAACTACGCCTTTATCCCTGTGCACAGTGACACAAATTATGAAGTTTCTGGGTCCCTCTCTTTGTCTCCAGGCCCCATAGGAAAGCAGAACACAGAAGAAAACAATCATTTGTCCCTCTTCCCTTCTCTAATCCATGTGAATCAGGTCTTTAAAGGCTCAGAACTGAGACCTCTGGTCTAGAAATAAGTCTTAATATGTTAATACTTATGCTCTGTAAAATGTGATCATGTATAATGTCATTTCACCTTCAAAGTCAGGTTTTGAGGTTGTACAGGTAGCATTTATCCCCATCTGCCAGATGAGAAAACCGAGCACCCCGGGTGTGGAACAACTTGTCTTAGGGTCACACCACTGATGTCTGACTTCCCTGCATTTCAACCTCCCAGACTCCCTTGTCCTCTAATCCCGGGCTGAGCTGCACATGGAGGCTGCTGTACCCCTTGCAGCCCCCAGCTCCCCTAAAAGACGAGAATAACTTTCCATAAGTTAGAATTCAGGTCCTCTCTGTGCCAGGTTAGCCTGTTTATTCAAGGTTCAGGATAAGCAAATACAAAACTCTAAGTCAGCAGATTTTCCCAGAGGGGGACTTACAGGCCAAATGTAAGGAACCAGCAGGCAATTTAGACATGAGGCACTCAATTTTTAGACTTCATATTCTTTCATTTAAGATGATTAACATTAGGGCTTCAAGCCATCCAAACTTTCCATTTATTTTCTTAGGCTAAGTCCCTCTATAAAGTGAATCCCTATGAAGATAGAACTGTTTTATTTATTACCAAATTGACTCTTAACTGTGGACCTGTCAATCTTGCTTACTGGTGTTTTATTTCTTTGTCTGTCTTGGGAGCTATAACATTATATTTAAACTCTATGGAAATGTATAAACCCCAAGATTCCACTAAGAGTGACCTGCTTTGTGGCCACAGTGGCTCATAGCTCAGAAGAATATATGGCCACGTGGTTAATTAAACACCAAAGAAAAGCACTTAAGACAATAACCTGGTCCCCTAAAACAAAAAGGAATGAGCTCAGTTCTAACCAAGAGGCTCCCCTAAATGCTATAACATTTGGGCCCATTCCTTCCTCTAAATATCTTATAATACTTCAAGGGGAAAAGAAAAAATTTACCTACATATTCTATTTGATTTATTGCTATTTTTATTTTCATTTCTGCAAATACCCAGAGTAAAATATATATATTTAGCCATCAAATTTAAACACTTCAACTATGGTAGGGTCCAATATGCTCCTGCTTGGGTGACCCACCTGGAACCATCTACTTACCTCCACCACAATCCCCAGATCCTTGACATAGTCTTTCTCTGTCTGAACCAGCTCATTCAGGACAAACCTGAGCAGGAGATTAAGAACAGCAGGAGATGAGGGTTCCTCTTCATTGTTAAGCAGGAGATCTTTACAGGGAAGTTACTTTAGCACCTTTATGATAAGCCCACCCAGAAGGCCCACATCTAAGCACCCTAGAAATGTGATTACTGACACCCTCTCTCTGCATGAGGCCCTACTGAAGAGCTGAGGCCACCAAGGCCAGAAAGGGCTTCCCCAGGCGACACACAATAGGCAGAGGAAGAACAATGCTCATCGCCTAGCATTCTTCTTTCTGCTTTTCATGAGTCTTTCTCCCTCGCCTATAACAGAGCAATTGCACAGACAGAGCAGAAGAATGACAAGCCCTTTGGCAAACTGAGTTCTGAAAGCTTTGAGGCCTGGGATTAACATGCAACTTTTATTCCTTCAGCTCTTCTTCGGGGGAAAGGCACTTATCTGATGACCAATCTTTAAGGCCTCCAAAGATATATTAATATAATAGAAGCTACAATTCTTCAGATAGGTATCCATGGTAGCTGGGCTGGGAAAATCCCTAATCAAGGCCAGAAAGATTGACTGCAAACATTCCATAATCACAACTTTGAATGCAGAACTCCCTGCCCCAGGATGCAGGATTGAACAACTACAAGGACATTTGCTTTCTTGGTTTCTTTCTTATTAATCATTTCCACCTCTTAGAGCAGTGGTCCCCACTTTTTTGGCACCAGGGATCGGTTTCACGGAAGATAATTTTTCCCAGATGTTGGGGTGGGGGTGTGCAGTGGAGCTCTGCGGCCCGGTCCCTAACAGGCCACAGACCAGTACCAGTCAGTAGCCTGGAGCTTGGGGGCCGCAGTCTTAGAGCATTTACTATGTGCCAGTTATTTCATCTGGGTTTCCCCATGCTTTATAACAAGGTAGGTATTGCAAAGCTCTACTTTATTAATATACGAATGAAACTGCTAAAACAGAAATGTTAGGTAACTTGACCAAGATTACTCGAAGTGAGTAGCCGAGCTGGGATTTGAACCCGATTGTATCAGAATTCAAAGACTGTGCTCTTTCACTGGGGCCCACTGCCTAAAAAACTACTCAGGTTGGCTCTTTGGAGTCCCTGAAGCTTCAAACCCAAACACTCCTCTTTCTTTTTCTGTCCAGACAGCAAACAGATACACACAAAATCCTTACAGTTGTGCACAGGGACAGGGTGGTGGTGTGCAATCTACTGGAGTCTGACCCTTATTATCTAATTTGAAAGTTTTGCTGGGAGCCACACAACTGCATTTTTGGCCCCAGTGCAGAAGGGATAAAGTTCTGAGATGTCAAAAAGGGGCCCCAGCACAAGGGTTGTAACTGTTTTGAACCCCGGAAGCAATTCATCTGAAAGTTTTGTTTTGCGCAGCCCTGAGAAGCCACAGAATCCCTGAGTCTAGGGCCTCGGGGCAGTGGGGAGGAAGCACAGGAACACATGCCTCTTTATCAGCATGCCCATCACTTCTAACTGGCTCCCTCTCTCCAGCACAGACAATCATGTGTTTTAGGCCACAGGAAGGAACTGGCAAGGCCAAATAAAAGCATTTAAATATATCTTTAGCATGGCCTGAGTTACTGCTCTGAAGAAAGTGGTAAAAGAAAACCCACAGGGAAGCCAGGGTGGGAATTCAGGGCTGGGAGGGCCCCCTGGAGATGAGGTCCAGCTCTCTGCCACTAGGCGATATTTTTATCCTCAACTCTTTGCTGATAGATGGGGGCTGTCTTAGGCTTGTCAGACTCTGGGGAAGGGGACTGTACTAGGTGCTGCTAGTAGACTTTGCATCTCCTCCTTGAAAGAGAGATTATGGCACATTAAAAGACATTCTGAAAAGTTACATTACAGATTTCAATTACATGCATCACAATGCAGTGCATGATTAATTATAAATTAAATGATAAAGCAATGTTTTTTCATGTTCAGTTTCTATTAGTAAAAGTTATTTACAAATAAATGTTATTCTTTGCTCCAACTAAAATTATTCCAGCTACAGGTTAGACCCATTTCTAATCTCCCTCTTTCACAATGGTAGATAATGGCTGGTCTTCCATAGAAAATGGTTTAGAGCTTTTGCACTGGCTGTTCCCTCTGCCAAGAATGCCTTTCCTGACATGGCTAATTCCTTACCTCCTCCTGGTCTTTGTGCAAGTGCCAGAACTACTTAATACTGCAACATGGCTTCATCTGTATGCCTGATTTCCCTTACACAGCTTTCATTTTTCTTTTCCCAGATTCTAACATTCTACATAATTTATTTTATCATATGATTTATCCCATTAGGATGTAAATCTGCTATGACAGCAAAGACTTTTATGGTTGTTTGTCTTATTCAGTGATATATCCCACCAATGGTACACAATAGGTGTTCAACAAGTGTTTGTTAAATGACTGAGTGACTAAGACTTGAAAAGTTCATTCTCAACTTTTTTCTTCTCCTGGACACATGACTATTTGTGTTTGTTCTTTTCTCCCTGGAGCTCTCATTTAACCCTTTGATGTCCTACTGCCATCTTCTGGATTGTGTCTTGGTTCACTATACCTTTCAGCCTCTGGCCTCACATAGGGTTTGTCATTAAACACCTTTACATCTTCTCTTTCTTCATGGCCATGATGATGGCACAGCAGGATAAAATGAGGATGATATACAGTAAGAGGAAAGAGACATTCCAACAACTGCATTTACATGAGAGTTCAGGATGTGGAGAAGTGTGGGTTTTGGCCAGAATGAGAAGAGGGAGAAGAAATAGGTAAAGTGGATAAAAGAAGCAGCAGACTTTTGTTGCCTGTTGTAGCAAAGTCAGGCAACAGCATTGTCTGGACAATGGCTTAAATGACTGCTCAGAGGCCCATTCAATCTAAATGACAAGAGTAGTGACTGGCTTTGCTAAGGACCACCTGCTACCTCAAAAGTCAGCTCACCTATATAAACTTTGCTTTGGCTTGACAAAGGACTAGAACCTCTCCAACTCTGCTTCACCAGCGTAACAGCAGCCCAAGATGCTATGAGGAATCAGCTTTGTGCAAGTCCTAGGAAATTTCCCTTTGGGGATGGTATTTCTCAAGCTCTATTCCATGCACCAACTTCTTGGGGTTTCCCCTGAGCACCCATAAAGTGGAGGGGATAAGTATGGAGTTGTAGGGTTCACATGCCAGTTGCTTACTCCCACTATAAGGTGACAGCCCTGCTTTAACACCATGCCCTCATTATGATGTTTCCACTTGTGTTTCTTAGGAAACAAAGTCTTACACATTCACTTTGTATATTTGTAGGCAACAGAAGAGCCTGGCCTCACTTATTTTTTGCTAATTTTCATGTCTGGTCAGTGACGAGCAATGAGTTTGAGAGAGAAAGGCAAGCTAATTAATAGCATGGAGGGACCCTTTATACCTGCCTACCCAATTCTGCCTGCTGCTTATAATTTCTCCCATGTTGGGCTATGTCTAAGACTATTAGTAGCTCTGCTTCTAACACAGAGTCAAATCCTAAACAAGAAAACTAAATTTTTAGAGGAGTTATGCTTTTAGATTAGTGGTATCCATTATCTTTTTTTATCAGATCAAATAATATTAATACAAAATTGACATTATATCAATGTAAATAACTCAAATCTTGTATAACATATGAGGTTTTATGAACTGGACTGTGATATGAATTGTATTTTACTGCTAGCTATTCAAAGTAGAGGAGATTCTCTTGGAATGAAACCCACAAATGGTTGTAAAATAAGACCTTTGGGGAAGGAATGGAGATAGGACCTGCCTGGTGGTGTGACAGCTCCTTCTTCCTATACGTCACTTTCCTACATTTGGGGAAATGTTTCCTCAGGTGACCTCAATCAGACTTTCTGCAATGGTTAAGGATTCTCTGATTCTACAGACCCATGGCAATAGTCTCATAGTTTCCTAAACTTGGTCATTTTCCTTTTATCACCATGTTTTAAATTTTAAACAGATCTTGGTGATAACCACTCTTTGTCAATAGCAGCTGCTATATCACAGAATATAGTTCAGCATAAACGTTTTCAAGTCAGTGCCGAAGTGGTTCAATGTTGATTAATGCTACACTGTCAGCTCTGGGCCACCTTTACTTAGAACGAATGATATAAGTGGAAACGCAATGTGGGGAATCCCTCCCTAACTCCCCCAACCCTTGCCCGTTGTCCACTGCACACACGCGTGCACCAGGGTGGCATCTGGGGAAGCCACTTACATCCTGCCTCTCAGGGCCTTGGCTTTCTGTTCTTCTTCCAGGTTTCGAGGAGGTGTGGGCGAGGCCATCCCCTCATTTAGGCAGCCTGCGGGGTCTTTCAAGCTCCCCCGGTATGAGCCTCCTTCTAGACTCTGAAAAGAGAAGAATAATAAACAGCCTTAGAGAAGTGTACGCTGACAAGTGACTTGGAAGCCTGGTGTCCCCCCAGCCTAGCCACAGAAAATCTGGAAAATCAGTAGCCAAGGCTGTTCTCACCGAACCATAATGAAACCCTCAGAGACCAGAGACTTCATCCTCCTGTAGCAGGGAGCCCAGAGCTGTCGCCTTCTTAGGCAATCAGGATGTACTTGGCATCTATATGCTGCCAATTTCCCAGACATAATGAAATTGTCAAGTGACTACCTCTGGGTAAGAGCTCCAGAGATAAAGATAATTATTGCAATTCTGTACCAAATAAGCACTTAGAAATGAACTAACATCAGTTAGTAGGACCATCAAATACAAATTGATAAGGGCAGAGTAGTGAGAGGAGAACTAGTTTAGTAAAATCATGTTTTCTTAAATCAGCTACTATTCTTTTGAGGAGGCCGATGAGATGTAGGTAAGTCAATAGATTTAGCCTTTTCTAAAAACACCTTTGCTAAGATTATTTACCAAGGGCTTTCCTTCATTTATTAATCCTTTTCATTTCTTTTAATTAAGGTGCTGCAGGATTGAAAAAACAAGTTGAAAGGATTAATGTGGTACTCCAGAAGGAGATAAGGGTAAAGGGGAATCTAAATTCTAATCTCAGATCTGCTACATACTGGATGATCTTATGTGAGACAGCTAAACTTGTTCTATGCTTCAGTTTTTCTCAATTTGCAAATCAGATCTTCCCTTTCTACAGATTTCTAAGGAATAGACAGATGATAGTTGTACAATCCCTTTGAAAATTAAAAATGCCCTACAATGGTGAATCCTGCCCCACCATGGATAGAACTGTTAGCAATAAAAAGCCTCAAAACGGAGTCAATCTTAACATTTTTACAAGTGCTCTGGAAGAAGGACCACATAGTGACACTCAGCATTTCACTATGGGAATGTAATGTGGATAAAAGTAAGACCAGAGAGCAAGGTCAAGTTGGGCAACCATAAAACAAATAATGGGAGACAACCCAAACTATTCTCACGAGATGCCTGTCTACACCAGCCACTGCAGCTAAAAGGAAAGGTTTCACTTAGTAGTCTTAGAAAACATTAGTCCTAAGGTTAAAGCCACATAGATAAAAAAAGTATTGACCAAAAAGGTAGTAGGAAGAAAAGGTTAAAGGCTGGCCCTAAGTGATCTACACTTACAGTATCTGTCAGAAACTCTCTTAGTTGCTGTATTTCAACATAGGCTAAACAGAGGTAGCAAACAAAAGCCCAGGGAAAAGAAACAAAAAGAGAACAAGGTACCTGATGGGCCATTATATGAGAAAAGATGGTCAATATAAAGACTTGAATCAAAAAACTTAATGCTGAGAAAAGATAGCAACAACTTCTTCCACTACCACCTGCTATCCTCAAATTGACAAAATGTGCCAAGGGCCAAACATGAATTACCAACACTATAAATTAGAATTAAGAGGATGGTGTCTTCAAGCTTGACAGAAAGAATTTCTTTTAACTTGGGATAAAGATATTTACAGAACAAGTAATCAACCATGGAAGTTGTTATATTCAGAGCAGCAGTATAAGCTAAAAATATAGAAAGGTCAAGAAGGGTTTAGCTACATTTATAGACACAGGATCTGTGACCTGTTATTAAGGAAATGAGAGTGTCTGGTGCTGAGGCTTGACAAGCGGCAGGCAGGCCTTCCAGTGACATGTCTCCTGGTGCCATCACCAGAGACAGGCTCCAGGCAGATGGGCACAGCTGGTGATTGATCTGATTACATGCCTTTTACTTCCCCTCCCCTCTTCCCCATTGTCCTGTTACATTCTTTGTTCTGCAGCCTGTTGGCTGGTAGCAAGGTGCCTGCAAGGCCTGGGGAAAGGCCCTACATCTCTGCCTGCAAGGCTCCCCCCATGGAGCATCCAGCTAGTGTGGGCCACTCTCAACCTGTCTACAGAATGAAGAACATCTGAGGAGTCCAATGTGTCACATGGGAAAATACTTACATGTCCTCCCACCTGACCTGTTTTCTGAGCAAAGCAGCCCAAGTTATCTTTGTGGGAGGACTCTCTGAGAAGCAGTGAGAGAGGAAGAAGAGGGAAATACAAGGTTTGGTTAAGCTATTATATATTCTGGGTAGTCTGCCCCAAATGATGGGGTTGGCTACAATGCTTGTAATAGTACAAGAGTGATTTCCGCTAAGGACCTGGCTACCTATGCTAGAGTTGGGATACTGGGCCCCCGCTAAGGGTGACTAGGGTTGACCTACAATGTTCTAGGCATCTCCTGGGAGAAAATAGGCAGTGGTGGCCAGTTATCTGCCACAGTGAGGACTTCTGCCCCACCTGGGGCTCAGGGCCACAGCAGTCTCTGAAGACAAAGGAAAAGCTGTATCAAGACAGAGCAATAAATGTTCCTATAGTCAGCCCAAGGTCAGGGAAGGGAGATGCAAATAGATTCAAATAGATGAAGTGTGGAGAAAGGCCATCCCCTAGTTTAAAATGAACACGTTTCCTGGTCACGGAATCTGGGCTGACATACCCGTTACATGCCTTTTCTTGGAGCTCCTACAAACTCTTCACACACAGCCCCACAGCATTCATTACACAGTACTGTTATTGATCATTTTTGTATTTGAGAAAATATTTATTAGGCATCTACTACATGCTAAAAATTTGCAAAGTGCTGGAGAAATGAGGATGCAATGAGGATGCCCTCTATAATCTAAGCTGTAGTGACTGCTCTTCTGGTAAGAAGGGATACCATGGAGGATGAACAAAAGGAGCAGGCAGCTCATGGTAGGGTGGAGACGGAAGGGAAAGGCAATGGAAGAGGCAAAGCTGGAACTGAGGATTGAGAGATGGAAGGGGTTCATGGGATACTCCAATGGGAGGATGTGCCAGGCAGGAGCAGCCCTAAGTGAAGGGCTGAGGGCGAAACCACATGGGGCAGCCTGGCCAGCTGGAAGAAGCCCAGCGTAGGCAGAATATATGGTGTGAGGGAAGGGGACTGGCAAGTGGTGGTTCTGAGAGTTGGAGTGAGTAGGTGCTAGAGAAGGAAGAGGTAAGGAGTGAAAGTAGAATCCTGGGGAAGGATGCAGGGACCAGATGATAGAGTCTTGTCTGTGGCATTAAGCAATAGAGACTTTACCTTCTAAGATCAAGGATGGGAGGGTTTTAAGTAGGGAAGTAACACGTTTGGATTTAAGTTTTAGAAAGATCAGTCTTAAAGTTCCAAACAGCTTTCACAATTTGGGAAAATATCTCTGATATGACAGTAAAGGAAAATAGAGCTTAAACTTTAAATACTCTATGATTAACTACATTATTTTTAAAAGGGTCTGGAAGAAAATACACCAAAATTTCAACACTCCATGTCTAGATGATGATTTATGCTTATACTCTTGTCATTTTTCCAATTCTTTTTGAATAAGCATATATTGCTTTTATTAGTCAGAAAATAACTATTAAAACTTTTTTTTTAAAAAAAAGGAAAAGAAAGACAGATCACTCTAGCAGTCATGTAGAGAGATATCCAAATGGAATCTGGGAGGAAATGGTTGCTAACAGTCCAGGTAGGAAAGAATTTTGAGATTAACTGTAAACTGCAAGCTCCATATAAGGAATGTGAGGCTCTGTGCTTGATCTCAAAGCCTGGTGTGTAGGATGACTCAAGAATTTATTGAATAGTGGAAACTCTTGGGGAGAGATCAAAGCTCCTCTGATAAGGCAAGGGGTACCCACCACACCAACCAGTCACCTCTTAGCTGCACTTCTTTTATAAAAATGTGTATATCACACCTGTAAGGATGGCTATTATTAAAAAACAAAAGACAACAAGTGTTGGCAAGGGTGTGAAGAAAAGGGAACCTTAATACACTGTTTGTAGGAATGTAGATTGGTATAGCCATAATGAAAAAATAGTAGGAAAGTTCCTAAAGAAACTAAAAATAGAACTACCATATGACCCAGCAATCATTCTAATAGGTATACACACAAAGGTAATGAAATCAGCTCCTTGTAGTAAAGATATCTATACCCTGATGTTCACTGAAAAATCATTTACAATAGCTAGGATATAGAAACAACCTAAGCATCTGTTGATGGATGAAGAAAGAAACTGGGATATACATATGTATATACACACATACACACACAATGGAATATTATTCACCCTTTAAAGGGACTATTATTTTCCTTTAAAAAGGAGATCCTGCCATTTGCTACAACATAGAGAGACCTAGAGGACATTATGCTAAGTGAATAAGCTAGATAAAGAAAGGAAAATATTGCATGATCTCACTTATATGTGGCATCTAAAAAAAAAAAAACAAAGTTCAAAATAAAATATATAGAAACAGAGAATAAAATAGTGGTTACCATGGCAGGACATGGAAAGGAAATTGGGAGATACAGGTTCAGAGGATACAAAGTAGCAGATACCCAGGATGAACAGGTCTACAGAGATCTAATGTACAACATGAAGAATACAGTTAATGAAATTGTAGTGTATTGGAGATTGTTGTGAAATAAGTAGGTTCTAGCTGCTCTTGTCACACATACATAAAAAAATTACTATGAGATGATAAATATGTTAATTTGCTTTACTACAGTAAACATCTACTATCTACATGTATTTATTTCATAACATCATGTTATAAACCTCAAATATATACATAAAATTTATGTTAAAAAAAACCTGTATAATATTCTCTGGACAAAAAGGCACATCTAAGTCATTCCTAGCAAACTGGGAGTGGGTACAGGACAACCACACAGTGGACAAACTGAAGTCTGGTTTCAGGCAAATGACATTGTGGGATTGTAACTTTTAACTTTGGGTTAAAAATTTGGGGTAGGAATCTAAACTTTCCTATGCTGACAAGCATCTCAGGAGTCTCTTCCAGAGAGGAATTCCAGGTGAACTTAGTTCCTGAAAACATCAACCTCCACAATGAAATGATGGGGCCATAATTTTCTCCCATCTGGACTCTGACCTGCTACTAACTCTTCCTGGCTGCTGACAGAGCCAGACAATTCATCTCAGGCAGAGCAAAGCACATGCGCAAACACGGCCTGGCCTCTGCTGTGCTCTTCTGTGGTCTGCAGGGCTGGCCCGAGGAAGTGGACGCTGCCAAAGCAGGAGAACAAGAGGGCGGAAGTCTTGCTGAAGCAGTCAGGACACAGTCTCAGGATGCCAGGCCACCAGGTAAACTAAACAAGAGATCAGTCCTGGCCAGCCCCTTCCCTAAAGGCACAGGATTATTAGCCGGGGTCCACAGGGGCTATCCTGAGCTCAGTGAACTATTCTGGTGTGCCACCTGATGACAAGAGCCAAGATAGGGGCTTTCTTTCTAGAGGCTCAGTCTTTCATGCCAGGGAGATGATAGAGTCCTGGGGCTCTCAACTATAGTTTTGAGGCATTATATTCTCACATGGCCAGGAGGCTCTTGTTCCTCAAAACTAAGGAATAAAACCAAATCATGTAGACTGTTGTTACCTGCAACATTCACCTAACCACCAGTCTATTGTGATGAATACTAAGTTTCCACATGCTCAGCACCACACTAGGTCACAGAAGATAAAGATGACAGGGTTCCCTTTCCCTGCCCTTCCCAAGGCAGCTGAGGTGGCTAAGAGCTAATATTTGCAGATGTTTGTTTATCAGTTTACAAAGTACATTCATATCATCATAACTATCTTGAGATTTGATTCAGGTAGACAGAATCATCAGCATTACCAGGTGAGATAACACACAGGCCCACGTAGACTAGCTTTCCCAGGGCTGTACAGTAAGTAGCAGACGCAGGACTAAAACCTAGGTCTTCTGATTCCTGGCACACTTTCTGCCAGCAGCAGCAATCCACAGGTCTAGAAAAGGCTATACTAAATCACACAAGGTATTATCTTTAACTCTGGCCAGAAAAAGTACATTAGCTCACTGATTAATCAGGGCCTTTGTTTACCAAGAAAGGATGCTCACCCACCTGCCCCCAAATAGAGCTAATGTACTTTTTCTGGCCTGTAATCCCAGCACTTTGAGATGCTGAGGAGGATTGCTTGAAGCCAGGAGTTCGAGACCAGACTAAGGAACATAGTGAGACCCAGTCTCTACAAAAAATACCAAATTTAGACAGATGTGGTGGCATGTGCCCGTCATCCCAGCTACTCAGGAGGCTAAGGCAGGAGGACTGCTTGAGCCTGGGAGTTTGAGGTTGCAGTGAGCTATGATGATGCCACTACACTCTGGCCCAGACAACAGAATGAGACCTTGTGTCAAAAAAAAAAAAAAAAAAAAAAAAGTCCGAGCATACCAGATGCTCCTGTAAAATGGAATCTGACTCTGTAAAGTGGAAAGGACTTTATTAGTTCTTTCTTATACTGAACTAAGAAAACTCCCCCACACAGGTCTAGGTTCCACCTTTTGGAGCGACAGAGTCAGAACAACTCTCCATTCCCACAGCGGTGCTACTGGAAGACAGCTCTCATGTGTCTTCTCCCAACTTTTCTCCATATTTAACCTCGGTTTCTTCACCTTTCTTTAGATGACATGAACCAAGTGTTCTGGTTATCTCCTCTGGGCCCCTCCAGTTTGTTCAAGAACATTTTAGAATGTTGTCTTTAAAACACAACACAATACTCACACACAACTCGCGACAGCTATGGTCTGAATAGCTTTAAGTGCAGGGAGACCAGTACTTCTGATCTGTGCATTAATTAAGTCTGGGATAACACTGGCCATTACTGGCAGCCATCACTGTTGGCTTTAGTCAGAAAAGTCAGAACTTTTATGGCTCTGGATCTTTTCTTCTTCTAAGATAAAGAAATAGGATTAAGAGTCCTGGCAGTGAAAATGCACCTTAGTGTTCCCAGACATGGCTGGGATATTCTCAACCTCCTGTTGTTGTGTTGCTACCTTACAGCTGAATGAGAAGAAGAGAAGGTAGAGGAGAGGACAAAGAATCGGATTTTGGTGAGAAGATTCTAAGAAAGCAAACAACTGCTTCCTCACTACCTTCTGTGATATCCATACCATGGCTTGGTTTTGTATGTTAAGCCAAAGAAATCTCTTGGGCTTGTAGAAATTCTGGGCTTGTAGTAGGTCCTCAAGTGTAGTTATTGGTGGAAGAAATTAAAGCCTTTATTATGGTAAACTCACTGCAGAAAGGACATTCATTCAATAGACATTTATTGAGACAAATCAATTCCAGTGCCATCCCACACTCCCTCTTCTCTGGGAAATTGCTCTAATAGTACTTCTCAATATCTTCATTTGCATGTTTAACACCAGACCCATTAATCATGCAAATTGGAGGCCCTAAGAGACTCTCAACAGTGCAAAGGTTAGCGGCAGTAGTAGGAAAAAGGTAATCCAAAATATAAACACATACAGACTTTGGAAATAAGTATTCACAAAGAACCCAGTGAGTGTGGAGGAATATATACTAATGTCCTAAATGACTTACCATTTAGCTGGAAAAGTAAACTACAAATGCAAACATTAAGATATTTTAACAACTAACACAACAGGGCCATGTTAGAGCTATCCCTCAGTGCATGTGGCTTTAGTAATTGCCACGTGATTACAGAGGGAATTTGGCCCAGGCTGGTCAGAGGAGCCCTTGTGAAGAGATGAAACTTGAGTGGGACCTTGAAGGACCATTATGTTCTAGATAAGCAGAAATAAGAGGGCAAACATTCCAGAGGAGTGGGGTGGTTTGGACAAAAACTTGGAGGAAGGAAAGCCAAGTGTGGGTTTGGGGTTAGGGAAGAAAACAGTTTGGATGGAGCAGAATTTATCAACCAGAATCATAAGTGGATGTTGGAAAGGTAGGTTGCAGAATAGGCCACAAAATATCAGAATACTGGGTAAGAGTGGACTCTATCTATAGGTCAGTGATTTCCAAAATGTGATGACATCAGTGAATATAAGTTTGTTCATGCATTCCCAAAACATGTAACTTATTTATAAATTATGTATCTGTGCTACTGTACTATCATTATGTACATAACAAAATATACATGAAACATTTTAAAATGATGATATAAAGATATTCAAATATTTTTTTCCCATATCCCAGTAAACTGGGTACCTGAAAGCCCCACATTGGAGACCACTGCTTGTGTACAGGTAAGATGGGGGCAGCAAGCCCCATCAAGGAGGTAGGTAGTAGGCAGTGCTTGTGGAGGACTGATTGAGAGAATGAGGTGTGTAGACAGACAGGGTGGGGAAAGAGAAAGCAGTGGCTAGTGCAATAGTCCAGGCACCAAGTCAGGGCACAGGCTCAGGTGGTGAAAGAGAAAATATAAAAGAAAGGACAATTTTAAGAAAAAATTAAAGATGGTATTTGGAGAATGAAGAGAGTGTATGGGTCAGTGTGGACAGCAAGTGGAAGTGTAGCCAGAGAGAAGTCCTTTGAGAAGTCAATATAGTGCCCATAGGAGCACTTAACTCCTACTGGCAGGACAGGCAGAGATGGCAGGAAAATGGGCAACCTTCAAGAGTTTGACACTAGTTACTAAAAACAGGAGCTTTAATAAGAAGGAAGATATAGGAACGAAAGAATAAAATCATATGTATTATATCTCATTTATACACTGTAGGCTGGGCTATCTGAAAAAGGGGTTACTGCAACCAAAATTATTGGGCAGCTTTCCCTACAGAACATCCATCATTTTCCTTCAATTCCTGGGCCACACAGAGAAGGGTTTAAATGGCATTCATTAACAAGACTGCCCAACAGAAGTCTGCAAAGCACAGACATTTATCCTAATGAGAATTGCAGGAGAAGCCAAACAGGTGACACGGATAAGACTGAAAGAGGCATTTTCCTAAATGCTTCAAACTGTCATCCCATAGGGATACACTCAAATGTAAAAGCACGGGGGTAGGGGAGCAGCTCTATCCTAATGAGCTATCCAAAAAAGGGCTTTTTCACCAGCATTATGTCAAAATCCCAAACCAGCTCAGACTCATCACCCTTCCCTCCAATGTGCTGATTGGTACATGAGACAGTCACAAGCTAGACCAGTTGTCAGTGGTTTACGTTTAGCTTCCCCTTCATGTGGGAATATGCACCAGCTCTGAATTTCTTGTGAAATATCTCTGAATTTCTTGAAAGGTATCCACACACTTTTGCCCATTCCCCTTTATAATCAGCAGTCCACTTTTGCAAGACTTTGCAAGCCAGCAGGCTCTCTAAAGGCCCCAGATAAAATTTCCTGGTGTTTTCAAAGATCCAGTCTGTATTCTGTGTCTCAGCAGCACAGCACGCTAGCTTCAGTGCTAACCAGACATGCCTCAGCACACACTGGATGCCACTTGCATGCGGGCAGCTGGATCAGGCTTACAGTGAGGCTAGTTTGTCTTGGACACTTTTCACCTTGTATCAACTCACAACTCCCAAATGGCCTTAATTTCCCATGGCCATTCCCAAACAAATGCCACAGAGGACTTGGAGGCACAGCTGTTTGGAAACCATCATTAGCTGGGAACAATCACACAGAAGGCACGAGGTTAGGTCCAAAGAGAGCACGGCAGACAGGTGCAAGGCCTTGGGAGCCGCATGGAGGTGAGACACACACAGAACTGTCTCCAGGACCCCCACTTACCAGCTTGCTTTTGACCAACTTTTCTATTGCACTGACAAGGTCTGCAGCAGTAGGTACTTCCGTGGAAGCCTGCCGGGCTGCTAGCAAAGAGGAGGACTGCAAGACATTGAGCAGCAAAGGAAAAGCAGATTAGCAAGGAATGAGGAACAGCGATTAGGAAGCAAAATAGAAAGTCAAAAGCTTGAGGCAGGTGAGGGAAGCAAAGCTCTAAGTTTAGAGGGAAGAGATGACAGAGGGAGGCAGGGGTCGTGTGGGTGTGGGACAGGCCTGCCCAACCCCTTGTCAGAAATTCTGGCCAGCAGCAAAGCATGGATGGGACTAGGCTCTCCGTAGGCCTCCGAAGGAGCTGAGAGGAGGGGTCATGGAGTTCCTGGGTGGCCAACAGGCAAGGGCTGCACCCACTGACAGTGATGGGGTGGCTGGAGGGTGACTGCTCTGAGGGCAAACAAGACTTTGGCCATTGCACAGCCGCCCATTGCTGTTCCAGGGTATGCAGGAGTCAATAAACCTAGCTTTAGGTGTGTCCAAAGAAGAGAAATAGTCCTTGCTTTACACAGCTTTAGATATAGAACTTTACTGTGTGTCCAGCAAAAATGCTAGGGGCAGGTCCTTAGAGACCAGTGAGCTAGACGTCCCCCCACATATTCTCTCCCTCCTTCTCCCTCCCTCTCCTTCCCCCTCTTCTCTCTCTCTCTCTCTCTCACACACACACACACACACACACACACACACACACACACACCCTTACCCCTCCACAAAACATAGCTGGCTCTGGTGAGGCCCCTGAACTGGAACACTAGGCAGTGATAAAGGGCTCTGGCAGGAGCTGCGTGTCACACGTGCCAGCAGCCACAGTGAAGGAGGCTCTGCTGCACGACCTCCCTGGCCCCTCCTCCCACTCTCGCACCAGCAATAAGGACTTGGCCATGTGGCAGTTTGGTCAATGGTTTGGGGGTTCCTGTTCCCTGAGGGACTGTGGTTTTTTTATTGTTTTTCCTTCCTTCCTCTACCTGAGAAGGAGCTGGGGGAGAAATGGCTAACCCTGCAAAGCATGTGTGCACTTTTACCCCAGCCTTATCAGAGCACAGGGCAGTGGTGTTTCCAGGGCCAGGACACAGGCTCCTTCAGTCTCAGCAGTAAGGACCGTGGGTGAAGAGGTTGAATGTCCTGGCCTTGCTCTGCCTTCAAGTTTGTCTCTTAGGTTAGCGGAAGAGTTTCAGAAACGAAGCTTCTTATCTAATCTAAGAGTTACTTTAAGTCTTTGCCTCTGAGATGGGGGAAAATAATTGTAATTTAAAAAGATATAACAATATACCTTTTCCTCTCCTGCGGAATGCAGGAAAAAACTTAAGTCTGTGTGGAAAATCAAGTTATCATCTTTTTGTTCAAGTAACCCTACTCTTGGAAACTTACTCCAAGGACAGGAGTCAAAAGAACAAATGTGCTATGTGCACAGTGATCTATCTGTCCACAGTACTATTATCCAGAGTGGCAAAGACTGGAAACACCCCCTTAGGATGTCCCACTCAGGGGCTGGGGAAGCAAATTATGGAACACTAAATAAGTAAAATATTCTCCAGCTGTTAACAGTTATGAAGGTAAAATTAATAAGACTTCAGGAAATCTCAGTAAATAAAACAGTGAACATATCATGCACACATATGAACAAAGACCATAAGGAAACATGGAGAAATAAAATAATCGCACAACATCACAATGGGTAAACTTTTAAAAATTCCTTTTACACTGTTGTAAAAATTGTTTTAATATATCCAACTGTATTTGCTAGAAGTTCTGAGGCTCACATCACTACCAAATATTCCAGAAAAACAAAATGTACAGAAGTCAAATAAGCAGGACTGAGGAGAGTTAATGTGTCTAAAAAGCGATTCTTGGCATCTACCCTATTTCTAGCTAAGAAAAGGGCTACATGAATATCTGGGGTAAGTCAGCATTCTCAGTTAAAAATTATCTAGAAACAACATAATGTCCACTTCCCCCAAACAAGCTGTGTTTGAGGGAATTAGAGGGAGAAGGTTCATGACCTTTGCTTATCTTATGCCCGCGGGACCCTCTGTGGACAGGGCCCTGGGCACCTGCTCCCCCGCGCGATCACTGTTTATAAAACACTACGTGGCGGTAGGCCTCTGGGAACGCAGAGGCTGCTTCTTGCTCTCATCTCAAGGTGAAGCACGGCATTTCTGTCTCAGGACTCCAGGATGGGCACGTGCCATGCTTCCTACTACGTTTCTCCCCAGCAATCCAGAGTCAGAGAGCTGGCCCTGGAGATGGGGGCCACCAACATCACCTCAGGAGGGGCCACAACTGGGTGTGGGGACACCCAGCTGCCACATCTGTCATTAGCCTGATGTTAGATTTGCCTACCACAGAAGAAGATATCTATCAATGTCTGTGGGTTAACAATTTAAATGCAAAGCAGAAAGAATTAAAATAAGAACTGAGATATGACCAGAGAAAGCTGATATATCTACAGACAGTACTTTTTGATCACCAGAAAAGCTTATACATCTGCAGTCAGTACTTTTTGAATTGCATCCTAGGTGGTATCATAAAGGTTTGTTTCCTGCCTGCACGTACTGGGCCCACCACCATGAAGGAGGCTGTCCCTCCAGCAGGCAGAGCACCAGGGAGCACAAAGAGAGCCTGGAGGATGGCTAGGCCAGCGACCACTGTCACCACGCTGCCACCACTGCCACACAATGAAAACAACATTCTGAAAAGCAAATGGCAAGTACCATGCAATCAAAAGCTGTAACCACCACTTCAACGTCCAGAGTCTAAGAGAACCAGCAACACTTAAGGGAAGGAAGAAAATACACACACACACACACACACACACACACACACACACCCCAAAGTGAAAACATGGCTGTAAGGAAAGTAAGTGGCGGAGAACACGAAGCAGCCCCAAGCCTCAGGTCAGTACCTGGAAGCACATCCAACCTAAGCCTCTGCTCCAGAACAACTGGGACAATCAAGGTGATCACAGGCTTAGTGGACACCAACATTTCAGATACCAGCAAGCCTCTGTGTGCCAGTGGGCCAGGGAGTTTTGCAAAGCAAAGTTGGCCAACTTGGCATATCAGGTTTGCCCACCTTTGATGACAAACTCCTCTTAGCAGCATTTCCATCCCTCATGCTATAACTGCAAAATTTTAACAGCACTGGGCTTACCATTACCTAGATTTTACAGTTGACTATAGGAAAAATGACTAAAATTAGGTTGTATAGTCAGGTACAATGAAATGGTTGCAACTTGGAACCACTGCAGATTCTTTTTTGATATAAAATATCAGATTTTGTAAAATAGCAGATCCTAAAATAGTTCGTTTTAGGACCTGCTGCTTCCAAAGACAGAGCCATTACCCTTTATCAACAGGGCACCAGGCAGGTTCCCACTTTGAGAATTCTACGCACACCCCCAGAACTGCCCAAAATGAAGTCATGCCTCTGGGGTTGGGGGAGGGGTCACCTAACAAATACAGACAGAATCTCTATTACCATGAATTCATGTGGGGTAAGAGATAACAAAGGAGAAAGAGCATGACTACCCCGCCACACACACAACACAAAATCACATGCATGACACATTGCTCTTTCAGGTAAGAAAGTAAAGACGTTCTACCATTTCATCCTGTGTGGGGTCGTTGTCAAAAATCTTCATAGGCGGAGGGAGGGGTGTGTGTGACTCTTCATCTGGCTCATCCTCACCCCAACCTTTCTTGCTCTTCTAGAACAAAAGAGCAGCATTAGTTACCGCTTCACAAAGCTAAAAATGCCAATAGTTCAGGACTTGACATTTTAAAGAAATAACATATAAGAGGAGGGATCCTCTCAACACAGCTCTATCTTATCAGCTTCAGGTTCCTCCCCTGTATATGGATACACCTGCTCATCTCAAATGAAAATTAGGACCAAATGGTTAATGAACACACACACACACACCCCAAAACAACAAAAACAATCTATCTTATTGATTAGACAGGAAAAGAGAAAGCTCGAAACAGTCAGAGAGAACCTAACTTTTAAACTTTCGTAGGGCTATTAAAGCACAATCCAAATATCACTGGGCTCTATTTCCATTTCCAGAGGGAGAAATGGCAGATAGCATAAAATTACAAGAAGAGGCAATCTGGTTACATGTCAGGAAGAACTTCTTAGCCATATCAGTCATTAGAGTAAGTTAATTTGCCAGATAAAACAGGTATCTCATTTCCCCAACCAAAACATACCCACTATATTTTGAATACGGAATCTCAGCTTTGTAGGAGACTTCAGAGGTCACCGAGCCTAGCCTCTCGGCTAACACAGGGCTCTCTCTAACTGTGATGCAAGGTTGCACGGCCTCTCGAGCCCTTCCAGTTTAGGTGACCATTAGTTCTCGTGAAGGCCCATTTCATCACTGATTAATGCCCCATTAAAATTCTGCTTTAAGTTAAAATTTTGCCTGTTGTAACCTTGTCTGTTGATCATAGTTCTCTGGGGCAACCTGGACTTGTCTATTCCCTTTTATAAATGGTACCACTCAAGATTCTTGTAAACCACTATAATGCCCCACCATAGTCTTCTATTTTCTTTAATCTAAATAGGCCTAGCCAGTTGTGATGTGGTCCTCAGTGGAGGCAGGGAACCAGCGACCAACTGACTCCCCTCTGGCCCAGGCTCCTGTCTCCAAATCTGGCAAATGGTTTCTGTCTGCTGGATGTCCTAGAGCCAGTTAGTCTCTGAATTTGTCACCAAACTGGGCAAGGTCATCAGAATAAAAGGAACTCAAATCACTGAGGCTCAGGATGACCATTGCTGGGAATTAGAGACTGCCTGGGTTCCCGAGCTGTGGAAGGGGGTATGGCAGGGTCCCCTCTGGCCCGTGTGCAAGTACCTCATCAGCGCTGTCGCCCTGAGGGGTCGTCTCATCCCCAGGCTTGGGAGATCCCAGGTCGAAGCTCTTCCGACCATCCCGTACTTTCTTCTGCTTTTTGATGTTCCCATCTGCCTTCCCACTGTTGAGCCGACGCACGGGACTCGTCAGCCACTTCTTAAGCGTGTTGGTGGAGCGCTTGGGACCGGGGGAGCTGTGGATGGAGTTCAGGGAGGGCTGGGCCTGCAGGTTGGCCACTGACTCGGATTTGCCTCCGTTTTCACTTGAGGAATGAGAGTACGCTTCTGCGGAAAAAGAACAGACAGACACGGCCACGTCAGAGGCAGCTAAGGCAGGCTGCCAACCTGGGTGTAAGACAGCTCCATCCTCAGGAAGCTAGGACACAAGGCAGAAGGACACCAACAGCTGCAGACCCCGGCCAAGGGAAGCCTCCAGAACAGCAGTAACAGCCAACGCTCGCCCAGTTTTTAATATGTGGGCACCGTTCCAGGCACTGTGGATGCAGGAGTGCGCAAGAGACAAAGACCCCTGCCTATGTGGAGTTTATGTTCTGGAGGGAAACACATATGACAGACTATCACAATCGCAAAATAAGTAAAATGAAAAGTATAACAGATGGTAAAAAGTGCTATGTCAAAAAATAAAGTAGGGAAAGGAACTAGGGAATGCTGGGGTAGGAACAGGGGCGCAAATTAAACAGCTGGTCAGGGACAGGCACATGACACAACATTTGGGCAAGGCCCTAACATTGGTGAGGGTGAACCAGGTGGCCACATGGCGAAGGGCATCCAGGCAAGTAGAAGAGGAGCAAATACAAAAGCCCTGAGGCAAGACCTGGGGTGTGCCTGGCGGGGCGAGAGTGGTGTAAACCAGGGGAAGAGCAGTAAGAGGGGAGTCGGGAAAGCAGCCATGGGCTGGGCCATCTAGGGCATGGTGGGCCTGCGTTATGCCCGTGTTATGCCTTTGGCTTTTACCTGGAGCGAAACCCACTGGAAGACTCTGAGCCACAGTGACATAACCTGACTTATGCTTTAGAGGGGTATCCTGATTTCTACGTTGAGGGCAAGTGGAAATGGAAGACTGGTTAGGAGGCTACTGCACAATTCCAGGTGAGGGATGTTGGTGGCTTAGAGTAGGTTGTACCTGTGGTTGTTAGAAGTGATCAGCTTCTGGATATGTTGTGATGATAGGGCCAATAGGATTTGCCGACAGACTGTGCATGGGATATGAAGAAAGAGGAGTCAGGGGTAACTCAGGTCTTTGGCCTGAACCATTAAGATGGAGTTCCTGAGATGCAGAGTACTACGGGAAGAGCAGGATTGGGGGAGGGAAGGTAGAAGTTAGCTTTAGACATCTTTGAGATGCCCATTAGATATCTGAGTGGACAAGTTCAATAGGTGAATAGTTGCTATCAAGTCTGGAGCCCAGGGTGAGAAAGTGCTGGTGAGCTGGAGATAAGTGGGGAGTTGTCAGTGTTGAGTCAGTGCTGGGAGCCGGGAGGCTGGGTGAGATCACCTAGGGGCTCTGGATAAAGAAGTCCAAGGATTAAGCCAGAAGGAGAGTGACGAGAGAACTAGGAAGAAAACTGGGTGAGTGGGATGTCCTAAAGGGTACCTGTAGAAAATGTCTCATGGTAGAGGGAGAGATCAGCTGTGTCAAATGCAGCTTGATAGGTCAAGAAGGTTGACATAAGAATTAAGTCTTAAACTCAGCAACATGGAAGTCACTGGTGACTTTCAAAAAAGCAGCTGTTGTGGAATGGAGGGGCCCAGAGCCTGACTGGAGAGGGTGCAAGGGAATGGGAGCAAGACAGAGTATAGAGGAGAGAGAGCATGTGAGGTCAAGAGAGTTTGTTTCGTATTTAAATGGGAGAAATCAGCATATTGTTTGTAAGCTGTATGCCATTTATTGACGGTTTTCAGTGTTATAATATACCTGCAATAGCCTAAGCATTTGGCACAGACTATCTTATTTCATTCTCAGGACAACTCCTTGAGGTAGGTTCTATTATTATCCTCGAGAAGATGAAACTGCAGACTTAACAACTAGTCAGTTTGCCTGAGGACATACAGCTCATAAGGGGCAGAGAGAGATCTGAACTCCAGACAGACAGACTTGAGCACTAAACTACACTACCTGGCTCTTAGTGTCTGTGCCACACCCAGTTCTCCAGGCTCCCTCTGAAGAGGCTAGAGGAAGAGCAGGTCTGGGGAAGCCACTGTCAAGGTAGAATAGAAGGCTAGGAAAGGCACATGGCAGATGTGGGCATGCAGGAAAAGCACATCAGGCAGCCTTAGTTTCCCCAAAATTCTTGACATCTGAATACACATTAAACTCTGAGAAGGCCGGGTACAGGGGCTCACGCCTGTAATCCTAGCACTTAGGGAGGCTGAGGTAGGAGGATCACTTGAGGCCAGGAGTTTGAGACCAGCTGAGGCAACAGAGTGAGACTCTGTCTCTACAAAAAATAGAAAAATTGGCCAGGCATGGTGGTGCATGCCTGTAGTCCCAGCTACACGAGAGGCTGAGGTGGGAGGATCCCTGGAGCCCAGGAGTTCAAGGCTACAGTGAATTATGATTGCACCACTGCACTCCAGCCTGGATGACTGAGACCCTATCTCAAAACAAAACACTGAGGAAATCAGCATTAGAATCCACCTACCTTGACATTACAGAATAGCTTTGAGTTATTCAAAAGAAAGCCCTTTAAGCCCACTTCAGATGTCTTCCTAGCTCCTATTGCTTGGGGATGCTGTTCTTGGTTCTATCAGTGTTGAGAAAGGTAGGGTCTCAAGACTTCCAAAAGCAACACAGGAGCCTCAGCATGCAAATATTTAGTAATTCCTGAGCAAGAATTACGAAATAATAACTATGTCATGGAGCACATATTAGGTAGTCTGTTCTAAAGACTTACAACAGATTTTATTACTATTTTATAGACCTCTTATCTAGCTACACATAGACATTCACATGATGGGGGGGAGAGAGAGAGAGTGCGAGAGGAGGGAGTTCGCTTGCGAATGAATGAGAATGAAGGAGCAAGATAGTGCTAGCAAAATTAAGATAAATTCACAAGGCAGAACATGATTAATTGCCAGGGGGCTGGTATGGCCTCTAGAGAAGTTTACAGGAGGGTCAGATCAGTACAGGCGGGATTGGTCTGAAAAGGTTTAATGGAAGAGATTGGTCTGAAAAGGTTTAATGGAAGCAGAAGAGAAGGGGTGAGGAATTCCACAGGGGAAGACAGCAGGAACAAAAGCAGAGGCAGGAAAACTGGAAAAACCCTGACCAGCTCTATCTCTTCCCCTCCTCCAGAGGTTCCCCTGACAGCACCACTTTGCATATTGATACTTACAGCAAACACAGGACTAGGTAAATTTAAACAAACTATTACAGTGGCTTTTCACACCTACTTGAAGACTGAGTCACCTTTTCCTACAATGACTTTGCCCTAGACTAGAGGTCTAATCTGGCCTGGGAGATGCTCTGGTTTATACACAGCTAATAGAGAAGAAAGAAAATCCTGAAAAAAGGGTAAATGAATGCTTTTGCCAATAGAGAGCTGACTCTAGCTTCTACAACTGGTGGATCCCATGGGCACCAAGCTTAGGCTTCCTGAGCCTTAACCCTGCTGGGACTTTCTTAGATATTGCTAGAGTTTTGTGAATACTTTGGAAAACAACAGCAGAATATTTGAATTTAGAAGCACAAAAATTGAACTCTGAAAATTCCCTGGTATGAAGGATACCTACAGGGTTGCTGCTCAGGGAATATTTAGAGATCAACTGACTTGGTTGGCATCCCTTTAAGGACAATATTGTAATCTTATCTCAGAAAATTCCTTGCTGGCTGTGGTCTTGGGTGTGTTGACATTATTTCTGCAGTGTTTGGTATGGGTCAAACTCCTGTTCTCTGAGGCCTAGCTGATAAAGATCTCCAGAGCACTGGTAGGGCCTCTCTGCTATCTTTCTGTTGATAAGCTGACAGTTGCTTTTCATTCACCAGGCCCCTGTGACACCATGTGGCTCTGCTCAATTCAAGCCTTCAAAACTTAGATTTATGGGCATGTATTATGTCAGCAGTACTAGAGGCCTGGCCCCATTAGCTGTGCCTTAACTGTTTTGAGGCCAGACAGATAGATGACTGTCCAAGATTTCTGTTCCATGGCAAATCAAGTCTGGTTTTGAGATGCACAAGTACAAATTTTGAATGACCATTCCTCTTCCCCTGTTGTCATCTGATTCTGCTTTTGTGTGTTCTGTACAAATTAATGGCAAGAGTGCAAAGCACAAATTAAAAATCAAGAGTGTTCTTAATTTTGTTTTTTTAAGTTTACTCTATGTAAACAATTGAAGCCATTCAACCATGGCCCAAGCGTTGGAAGCAACATAATTCAATATCTTACCAGCTATAACAGTTAAGTGACTGATTTGGAACAACCATAATACTGTTTTGTCATCAAATCATCCCAAGTCCAGGTAGGTATTATTTATTATGAATCCCACCTTAGGAAATAGAAAATGAGAGTGCTTCAAGAAACTGGGGTTCATAATAAGTGGCAGAGGCAAGCCTTAAACCCAGATCTTATCTCACTGCACATATATTTAATCTTATTTCTGTATCTATGTTCATTCCATGTATTCCTTTAGACTTTACCATTATTGTAAAAAGGAGCATCACATTGCTAGTCTATTTGACATTTCAAATATAAATTTATAGATAATTTATATAAATTACAAAATTTCTGCTGAAAACTGTCTCAGAGTTTACCTAACTTACCTTATTTACTTTGATAAATAAGGCAATGAAGGTTCACATGTGGGAAGTCACTGTCACAAACTGGTAACAAAACTAGTGCTAGGCATCCCTCTGCCTGGTCCCAGGCTCTGAACCAGTGCACTCTCTGTAGCCCTGAGGCTTAGAAACTGCCATTGAGAGCAATAACTGGTTTTAAGTAAATGGGAAGACAAATGTATCCCTGGACACTGCAAGTAATAAAGATCCCCTAATGTTCTGGTATGTACAGTTTGCTTTATAGAATTTAAAAAAAATCATTTTCTGAGACTAATTTTACTGTGAAATATTTTTAAAATACAGAATATAGGAAAAATTTGACATCCATGTACCCACCACCTAGATATAATAAATATAAACATCTTTTCCATATTTGCTTTAGCTTCTTAAAAAGTAAAGGATTACAGATATAGTTGAAGCCTTTTTTTTTTTTTTTTTTTTTTTGCCCATTTGCAATCCCACTCCTACCTGCCCTTCCCAGAGTTAAAAT